ATAACTGTGTCAGCATATTCACAACGTTAGCAGGTGTTGAAAGTGACGGAAGGTCTAAATTCGTGTGCGAAATAGTAGAAAAGTTCCAGTTCCAGGATTTAACATAACACATACGTTTTATTCATATGTGTGTTTCTTGGGTATTTTTTTTTTTTTTGCTTTAACTAGGGACCAATGGCTTTTATTATAATCAGCTATTCCGAAAATTATCATGATATATGTGCAGTATGATAATGGTATTCACTCGTTTATCGTTTCCCGCCAAAAAGGGTGCTAGTTTCCGGCAACGATTATGTTTCCCATTATTGGAATTAAGCACTAGCAGCAGCAAATAGTCTTCATGGATCTATCGCTAATTGCAGTCTTAAATATGCTTCTCAATGGCTATACGAAAACTATACTAGATAAGCCAACAATGGGGTGGTGGCTTGGATAGCCGAATCGATGGTCGAAAATGACTAGAGACAACTGTCCCCACGTTATATATATCTGAATAAATAGATATATTTTGTCTATGATTCAATGATTCAGCATAAAATGTGACACAGTAGCTTTTTGACCTGTTTTTTTTTCACAGAAATAGTTCGTATTCTCAGTTAAAGTATGATTTGGTACTATTTGGATGGTAGATTACTTATACTCCACTGTTGAAGAAGCCTGCACAAGTTCATGAAGGTTGAAAAGGCAATTTCTAAATTACGGTAGTTAAAATCTATAAGGGCAATGTCAAATATGGTGGACAGACACCTCATAAAATGCTGACAATCCATCTCAGCTTTCCACCAAACCATGGAACCAAAATTCATGAAGCTGTAGTGGATTAGATTACCTGCATTAGATTACCGCACAGACGCTACGATCCTTTGTGGCCTGCCCTAGGCTAATGTCCCTATTTCAGTAGCGTTCATCGACGAACGTAACCATCTGCGATTATCGTTTCAGACCCATATTTCACCACAAATCATTGTTATAACGTGGAAAAAAGCAAAAACAAATAGTTTAAATCGCTTAAATCGGCTCGCTTAAATCATGCAGCACCCATTTACCTAATTCTCTTTTTGCATGCACCAAACCAAGAGTCGTGCAACTTGAGATATGTTGGCTTCTTCTACCGCCCTTAACTGTTCGCTACTAATATTTGCAAAAAGTCTTCCACTAGACTTATTCTTAAGTTCAACTTGATATGTTACATAGAATAGAGGAACAACAAGTGAATTAGCGGAGTCTATTAGAAGTAGGCTAATTCAGCGACGAAAACCCTTAGTTCTTCTGGAAACGAGCGGGGTCGATCTGAGCATTCACCAGTATTAGTCGCGTAGGATTGCTCTTATTATTCTATTGTATTGATCCATATCGAATTTGCTACTCGTACTGAGTTATTAAATCAATTTACTTATATATAATAAGGGTACGATGATAAATTCCGCAAGAAACCCCTGTCTGACCTCCGGGTAAAATTTATTCCAAGTTCTTTTCAGACTGCATGCCACCGTGAAAAAAATAACAAAAGCACAAGCGGATCCTCTAAGCCGTTGGCTGTTTTGCCAGGAATTCCCATTCCCACACACGCAAATGCTTGTAATTTAGTATAACATTTCGTTACGAGGCCAGACATGCACAGCAAGATATTGCAGTGACGATGATACTTTTCAGTATAATAAAAGTAGCACCAGCTTCACTTCTTATATTTGACGTAAAATCCTTACCTTCTCTTGGAGATGCCCTACGAAGGAGGCAGCGTTGCTGCCTTAAGACCAATCGCGATTGTCCCAGTTGACTGGCCGGATACTTATTGCCTGTTTAACTAGGAAAACCCGTGGGTTCAGTTTGGCGTCGTCAGCACGAGTATCACGTACAACAAAATGCGTCTCAGTGGCACTAGACAGGGTCTCGAGGGCACCCAAGACGTCGACAAAACAGCTTCGGGCACAGACAGTAAGCCGCAACAGGCACTTATTGTTATGTTGAAAGCATATAACCAGCATATAAAGAACGGTTATTATCGTACTGTGAGTAATAAGCGTCGGCTAGGTAGGGCACTAATTGCAAAATACCCACCGATCCGGCATACAGCGGTGGTGAAATGGTTTTAAACGTTGGAGGTGTTTCGATTGGAAACCAGGTATTTAACACTGACAGAATGTATCTAAGGTACAAGGGCGCCAGAAAGACAGATTCGGTCTTTGCATTTGCTGATCTCATTCTCGATATTTTTTTCGCGTCGGAAATGAAAAGATCATATCACCAAGCGTTTCCATTATAAATGTACTCCTTTTTTGTTCGTAGTTAGTCTTCTTAGGGTTACTGTAGCTCCATGACATTTTTCTTATGGCTAATTTGGGCTTTGTTCCTTTTTATTGTGCACTCTGCCAGCCATAAACCGGATTTCTTCCTTGTGATGGTTTGATGCAAAACTTCGGTAGTGTCCCAAATCCGAACCGTAAAGATAACATCGTACGCGACGCTGGAGTGACGAAGTATCAGTCTAAAAGCTGATTTTCCCTGAGTGGGTTTTTCCTGTTGTCTAGCATCGGCAATTTGACCTTTAATGTCGCCAACGTTAGATTAAAATTGTGGTAAGAAGTGTGCGAAGATAATCGAGTGGTAAGAGAGTAATGTCTTAAACTTCATCAGTTTAAAAAGGTTTCGGTCGCCGCAGAAGTGTTACATCAAGACAAGAGCTGATGTTACTTACCTCCTAGTTTATACTTGAATGCGTTATCAAGCCGTTAAGAAAAACCCACAAAGTGCTTGCTCCCTATGTTTCTAAGGGTGCTTGCCCAGTATAACATTTACGTTTGAATGTCTCGTTACGCATCGGATGCTTCGAGTATCAACTGTGCGGAGAAGGCCAAAGTGTAAACAAACATTTTGTTAATATTGCGACCATTGGTAACCTGACTGGATCACTACAAACTTGAAATCGATGCTCTAAATAATATTTAACCCGAACAGAGCCAGCGTGCGCAAACGTATAAGTGAAACTTCGTATATGACCTTGTTAAGTGCGTGGACGCGACGTGCAATATGTGTGTGTCCGTTTGTACCTCTGGATAAAATTAATTTTACCTAAAACGTGAACCCGATTGTAATATATATATATATATATATATATATATATAAAAGGAAAACGGATTAGGAATAATGGTTACTTTCCTAGGAATTCATGCTAATTTTGCCTGTGACGCTTCCCTATACTTAGAGTCTAAGTTGCTACTTAAAGGAACTAATAGTGTCTACATGGTTGTCCGTACCAACAAACTTTCGCAATGGCGGACAATTTAGTACGTTACCTTCTAACACACGTATCTCAATGTGGTGTTTTTGTTTATTAAAGACGCGTATGCGTGAACAATTCAATCAACTTACTTCTATTTCTTAAACGCTGTGCGGTCGCGTCTAACAATAATTGATCGACCTTGCGCACACATTGAACTGCTTCAACAATTAATTAATGAACTTAATACTCAGAAACGTTGCGTATAACACTTTACGATACTGAACACATATTAAAAATGCTGCAAAACTTCAGTTGTTTATATGTAACATAAAAACGAGGTGAGAATACTATAAGTAAGCCGGCACTCGCTCGGACCTGACTGTCCCGGCTAAGTTAAATTTTTATTACTGAAATTTGTTTTTATTCTTGGTCGAATTTCTCATTTAAATTAAAGCTAAGTGTGTATACCTTGAATATTATTACACTTGTTTTTTTGTATATGGTTGTAAATTCATCACGGGGATATTGCAACAATCTTATGGTCAATAAAAGGTCAAACAAGAAATGTTTCTAGATTATCCGAACTTACAGTGCCCTCAAATCATCTAGTCCGTAAACAGTTTAGGTTATAATATAAAAAATGAATATACGCGGAAAGCGTCGCGGTTTACTATTAAGATTAACAGCCATATTCTGCCTTGCATTATTTTGTTTTAGGCATTATCCTAAAAGCAAATGTTTGTTCGAGAAAGACATTTGGCAACCCTGAAGGTCCAGGTCTGGCCGAAGAATTTATAGAGTAAATCTAATTTATTGCCAGTTAGTCCTTCACAAAACCGTTCACCGCTGTTCCTAAGCGACGTCATACATTTCGCTTGTATTTCCCCATTGTAATCATTTGAAGTTCCCATGCATTTACGGCAATATCCTACGTTTATCCCGTTACATAAGCTTTGAAAGCGGTCATTCTGTTCTTGCCAATCTGGTCGGATTGGACAATATCAACATTGTTTATCATTAGACAGTCATGCTCTTGCCATCATTCCAATATTTGTTACTGTTAATATATCACGATGTTATGACGCGTGTATCGGCTTTCAGCCGTCATTTGCCTTTAATTATATATATTTAAACCTACTTTAACTACGACATCTTTGACTACCCCTAACTGCAATTGCAGAACGAAAACACACGCATCCACGTTTCGGCCGCAACATTCGCTTGAAGCATATACAGAATGCGTCACATTATCTATGATTCCGTAAAGCAAGCTAGTGCAGATATTTCTTTGTTCCCACATTTGCAACGTTCCTCATATGCCCATAGAATAAAATGAGCGGATAGTTTTTGTAGATTCCTGCTCGCGAAGTATTCAGTTGTAACATTGGTCCGATGTCCATCGACGACACCGAAGGCTGATTTCGTTCAATCGCAACGAGGGCTACCGGCGAAACTCTTATGCTTGCTGCCACGCCATAATCCCAAGCAACGTCCAGTAGGACCGTTGCTATTATTATATAATATTATAGCTACTCCAGCTATTGCAGCAGTGTCGACGCTACCGTCACGATTGCTACCATAGTGTCATAACTCCTGTTGTTGTTACTACTTCGGTGTATGAGGGAGCGGGGTGCTTGTCTAATACGAATTTGCCAACAGTGCCCGGACGAACGTTGCTTCAGATGTCTGGCAGCTGAGGGAAAAAGCGCCAGACCGAGGGAGGGAAAGGAAGGGAGCGGGAATAGAACGGCGTTTCAGCCTTCAGTCGACGTCGCGCCACGCCACTTGGCGCTGGCGCTGCGCTCCGCTCCGCGTTCAGTTAGTCGGTGTTGCAGTGCTGCTAGCGGTAGTAATGGTAGCAGTCGCCATTTGAATGTACTAAACAGTCGACCGTAGGTTTATTTTCTGTTGATGAATCCTGTGACTGGTCAGAAGCGAGTGTTATCCTGTCGCGGGACTGTTGCGTCGCTGGGACTTGTGCAATCGATGTAACAGCGTAGCGCTTTGCGATCGTACGCGCATACCTAAACATTAAAGGCGCGCATTAAAAACACCACGTCAATCATACTCCATTAATGGTGATGCTGTTGACACTGAACGAGGAGCCTTAGCTGGTCCAGGTTTAACCACTGTGAACAAACGCCAACATCTGGTGGAAACAAATCCGCCGCCGCCACAAGAAGCACTCTAAGGGTTTATTATTAGATGAACTATTACCGCAAGTACATGTATGACTGTTTTTCATAAATGCTAATCTAAACACGTGTCAAAGAAACAGAGACAACAGAACAGGCATAACGATATTTTTGTGAATTTTCCCTAAGATTCGATGAGATTCAATCGATTGAATTTCAACAAACCAGAGGTAAGCCATGTTGTTGTCCTCCGAAGAGATAGGTCAATGGCGTGACATATAATCTATATACTAATATATAGCGACGTGATCCGCGGGCGCATTATCAGCTGGATGGGAGCTCGATCCAGTAATAGGTGAATGATATGAAGCCACAATGAAATACAGAAAAGTTCACTAATCTTCTACTACAACTGGATTTCAGAACGTGGTTGAGACAGAGACGCATCCTAACTTAGCGGCAGGTTAAAGGTAAGCACAGGATTTGGTTCTGTACACTTTTGTCGAAAACGAGATCTGAATGAATAAATGAAATCATAAGTAGAAAATGTACGTGAAAACATAGGAAACCAGCACTTCGGTTTGAGTATTTAGACTGCTATTTCATTACATTTATCAGTGGCCATCCAAGTAACCTAAGTTACTTAAGACGTTTTTCTTACCGCTTTGACTAACGTCGCCCCTCGGCTCTACGGTCCTACTCACATATTAAATCTGTCTATGCAAACAACGTAATCCAATTTTACAAAAATGGCAAAACACACAAACAGACTTAATTGATACAATTTGCAATATGGTCCAGTTGAACAAATTGAGCCAACGCTTTTCTTGTACTGGTATTGTTCATTTATATGTATTTAAAATAAGCTGTATTTTGTACGATACACTTTCGTTTAATAACACTCACATATATAACACACAGAACACATATATACCTAAATTAACTTGGAGGAGTCGGTAACAATGTCGATCATTCTCGCAAATAGTTCCACCTTTCCTTGTTATTTTTCTTCTTTTTATCGTTCTCTTTTTTGTTAGTGCATAGATCAAATGAGAACTGAGTATTCATATTTAGCATAGAGATACTCCTTGAAAAAGCGCGTCACTTCATGTTGTTTTTCGATCCATATTGATATACAATTTATGTAACAATGTTTATTTTTACGCTAGTACCGCTGTTCCTCAGATCCCCTAAGCTAGTGTTGTTGTCAGCACGAACTTACGTAAGCGTTATTATCGTTGTACTATACTTTTTTTTTTTTTTTTTTACTTTCAAGCATGTCATCAAAAGCTTGAGGCTCATTTACTCGGTGTTGTCACGATCATATCCTCTAATGTTTGTTAAACTACCCATTGCTTTCAATAGACCGTCATTGTTGCCAGTCTAAAGCGCATTGAGATAATCCATCCGGATATCATAGGGGCACTCCTGTCACAACTTCAAAATGTGGAAGGTATCACCGTTCGCCCCTTATTTGTCTGCGAATATCAAAAAGTAAACAGACTTTCAGCTCCATGTCTGTGTCACTTTTTTTTTTTTTTTTTGTTTATCTCTGTTTGCCCCCGCCTTTAATACGCTGTACCTTTGTCCTTGTCTATGCTTGCACTGAACTAAAAGCGGATAAACATCTTGATTCGCGGTCTATCAGAACTGACTTCCAGAGAAGATTCTCTTTTATCTTTGTAAACTTGTTTAAGCTTGCGCATTGACAGTGATATGCATCCGAGTATGTACGTGTTTAACCAGTACCAAGGCCGAGACATTTCAGCGTGCATTCTTTACGATACGCGCTGAAACGCTTTATGAGTTTTTGCTCCTATAATGATCATTCAATCTATATTTTGAAATGCTTTTTGTTTCGCTTTCTTACAGTCAAAGGATTAAAATGACAATGTAATAAAAATAACAATTATTAAGGCTCACGAGAGACAGAAGGTCAAAGCATCACGAAATACCGCTTTCCCCAAGAAAAGTGCGAAGTCTTGCCTAGTGAGCAAAAGATAATATCGTTTGCCTACCTTAGACAAACATACTTATTGTTTGTCACGTAACAACGCAGTAAGCTCTGCCCATTTCTGTAAATACACGGTCGTAACAGTTAGTGATGATATTTGCGAAACATACATACTTGTATTGCCTTATGCAACGCAGCTATTCAACTTTTTTCGTATACCCGCATATATCACTACATGTAAAAGACTCCACGTTCCCTACATCTCATAGAATAAGCTAGTAATCGGATTCTAATATCTGCACAACGTTAGTTCCTAGCAGTAAAAGGTGGACTAGGTCAGACTTAATTGCGGCACACGCTTACATGATATAAACAACATCGGAGGCAGTGAAGTCAACGGACTCATACGCATCGTGGGTGGCAGAAATGCTAGACCCCGTACAATGGAACACAGCGTCAGTTTCTTAGATCTCGCCATGTTCTGCTAAGCCAACGACGCTGCGCTGTACCGTAGATATAGTCGAATATAGATTATGCCGTTCGTGTAAAAAAACCGTATTTCAAGCAACCAATGACTGTTTTCGGAATTTTTCTATACATATGACTTACCGATATTTCTTAATTCTCAGATAAGTTTCTTTGTATTAACTTAGATTTCACAACTTTTGCGAAGTACAGCGCTCTGAAATTTTGCGGCTGCCACATGACATTGATATTAGTGCTAATAAAGTCGATCAGGCAACTTGATTGGTTTTTGTTATCTTTAAATTGCGCGGTATACTTATATTACAACTGTAACTGATGTATGTATAACACAAAGAACGATGTACGGTACGGCTAGAGAGACGCACTCAAGACGTATTTTAATTATTATCATCATCAAATAACGACTAGCTCATCTTGTGCTTAAAACCATTAGATTCACCTTTGTGTATCTGAAGTATAAAAAGAAAGTCTTTAGCGAATTTGATCGGCGAAAATCGATGCTTTATTCATTACGGTATAATTAGGACACATGGGAGAGAAGCCTTGTGACGTTGTCCTTTGTTGTATCGCACTGAAGTTCTTGACGACGACAACCGGATATCGTAAACAACGACAGTGACACACCGCCTATAGAGTAACGGCGCCAATGTAAACTGCAAAGTCGTCGCGTCATTAGCGATGAAAGTTTAACTTACGATTCGATTACGTTACAAATAGTATCAATCAAAGCTGATGAAAGATCGAATTTTTTACGGCGTCGGAAAGAAGCCACTGCTTCTGCAGCTGATTGCTCTGATTCGAGTAAGACAGACAGACAGATCCTCTACATGAAGATGTTCTGACATTTGGCATATTTAATCACTAGTCCAGGTCCCTAGTCGGCGTTTTCTGTGTCCTATTCTTTTTTATAAACTTAATTATAATAATAAAAATTAATAAATTAACATTAATTAGCCCCCACAAAGTAAGATCACACATTAATGGCTCAGATTGCAGGTACACAACTATATAGAGGGTCCAAGGTAGTTCGTCGTTTTATCTTTCCTCCTAAGGTCTGTTTCTTTTCATGCGGAACATGTGATTTAGTTTGAAAAGCATTCTTACGTCCTATTATACTCTTTCTAAACAAGCGAAGAAAGGGTGAAGCCTGCGTTATGCGGCCGATTCCGCGGTTGAAATTTATGAAAAGCTTGATGGACAAAAAGGGCGATTAGCCTTAATTATGAATGGCTCACTGAGAACAAATAAGCATGCGCTGTGATAATAATAATTTTCAAGCGAAGACACAGGCCGTAGATGAACGAAATCCCATTGAATATAAACGACATTTATTTTCAACTGACAACTGATGATCGTCTATATGCGTTCCATTCGCACAAAAAACAAAAGGAGTTTAAAGAATCCTTTTGTGAATTTCTACGCTGAGGAAGTGTGGAGCATTATTGTTCTAGCTACATGGTAGATGTGGGCCTAGGTGTAGGAGTGATAATGATGACGCCGGCAAAATGCCTGATGAGGTGAGACAAAAACTTAAGGCTCCTGTGCGCGCGTTAATTTTACTCGTTTTCTGATAGACAGTTTCAGTTGTCGACTCCTCTATCAAGAGTGAGTTTTAAAATGTGTGAAAAGGCTATTTGCTGCTTTGGGATCGGCCTTAAGTTAGTTCTCTCTGTATTAGGTTCAAAGCTTTATAGAAAATTAGGTATTCAAATTAACATTACACATTTAACTGAGAGAAAAAGTAAAAAAATCGAAAGGTTTAAGTAGTGAGATGTTGAAGAACCTAGGCGTTCAATCACTTAGATTAAATATTACATTTATAAGCCCGTGCAGATGAATAATGCTTGCTTTAATTTACTTTCCGGTTCAGAGTTAAATAATGTTTACCTTAATAGTTTTTACCAATGCAATCATTTTACGGCAGATATACGGCATTAATAAGAGCCATATTCATCTTCATCAGCCGGATAAATTTCTCCCCAGATGCATACTCCAAATATTACCCACGAATTTTTTATAGCGACTACGAGCTAGAAGTAAATTAATCTTTTCACTGCTAACCCCGGACTGGTTATTTCCCAAAATCCAAATAAATGCTTCTCTTTGGTGCGAAGGCAAAACGTGATCTCTCTATCAAAAATACTGTCTAGCTTTGAAGCGAAAATAGAATAAAATCCATAAGCACATTGAGGAAAATATGAAAAAGCCCAGACAGCAGGTTTTCTCATTTGATTAGGTCACACCTTTGCTCTCAGCTTTTCTTTGCATATTTAGGTAATAGGATCTTTGTATGTGGGTCTTGCTCAGCTATTGCGACGCCGAAAGCAGATGCAGCGAATGCCTAGGGGCATAGAATGAATGAATGAATGAACGAACGAGAAATCATATTCGAAAAAGATTTAACGGGGCATTTCTTGCTTACATGTTTTATTGTTATTAACCATTACTCTTGATTTTAGTTTTGCAGCGTCAGTATTTGGCGGTCATAATGTTATTAGCGGTGGTTGGATTCAGTGATGGCCCGTTGAAGCCAAATGCTTTACGTAACGTATTGAACGGTTCGCGTTAACGTCTGATCTACGTTATTTGTGACATCTTCGCAGAAGACGATTTTTGGACTAATTTCATTACACTGGGACAGTCGTCACCAGTTTGTTTTGTTGCAATTCGGGATTTACACCATCGTTAACATCACCGACCAACTCATCTATAGCATTCGAAAATATTTCATAATACCACGTGATTAAGGTCATTTCTACGGCGTAGAAACACGAAAATGATATGAGTCGAACACCGACGACAAAACCGATTTATGGAAAAAAAAATCTAATGTAGCTATATTTTTGCTTTGCTATTTGCGCCGATGATTATCAGTTGGAAATCTGCAACAGCGTTATTGCATCAAGCTTGGAGTCGCCAATAACGAGGGCGATCGGATGGATATACAGCGAGTATAAGTACCGAGAATAAATCAACTGAAAAAATAAGGGAAAATTCTAGTGACTTTTCGCGCTTTCATTGGTGCGTCATCGCCAAAATGGCAATTGCAAAACTCCTATTCACTAAGAATATCGCTACAATTTTACTAGAATGGCTGCAGCCGCCTATGACTGTAGGTACGGCCCGGTAGAATATTTCGGCCAAGATCGCTGGTAGCTAGATCGCTTGTCCCCTATTTTCTTCAAATAGCGTCACGACCAAAGTGTTTGCTACATTTACAGTTCATCGACAGCGGACGCCGTTTGTAGACTCTTCGCGAAGTCCGCATCTGAGCATATCTATTGCTTCTCTCCCTGTTGGTCTATTGGTTATATCTATTGGTCTTCTCAGCCCTCTCTGTTGGAGGGCAGATGGACAAGCAATTTAACTTCCAGACGCCGTCTCAAATACAGTCTGAGCCCTTAGCGCACTGAAAGACCGATCAGCCAGTACCATCGAAGTTCAGAATGCGCACTAACGCCGATATCTGTTTCGCGGACCTTCAACGGCCAATCACGTTGATTGTTATTCCGCCAACGGGAGAATCAATCAACATCACGAGCAACGAAGTTAACCGTTAACCAATTATATAACTGAACTACGAATTTACGTGTTTCTATGCACAACAATAACGTGATACCGTTGCAAATAGATCATTTGAAAATACCTAAGGAATTAACCGTTTTCGTAAATCAATGTGGCGACGTTGTCGCCAGCTGAATAATAAGGTATTAGTGTTTTTTTTTCCCCAAATAGTTTAGCACAGTGGTTACTCTGCCATAAATTGTTTACATTTTTTTTATAATTCAATATACTTCGAAATGGTGATCGAGGGGATGTGTTGCGCAGTATAAGGTCGACCGCTTAAAAAGCTGATTGTAGATAGTAATATGGAAGGCTATATGAGTAATAGTAATTGTACGTGTTATGCGAGTTTCTTAAATATGAGACTTTCGCTAGAGAATGGAATGAATGGCTGCCAGAAGCTAAGCTTGAAGCAAAACGACATGTTCCAGTACTTAGTTTTGCGAATTATCATAATACGATTCTGTGTACCGCCTATATGAAAATTGTTCAATTATATGTAATCTATATCAAAGTTCATAGTCGAACCATCATTCACATGGTCCGAAGCCTAAAAACACTTATTCACAAGAGAAAGAGTTACGCATTAATTTTTCGCTTAATAAATTTGAATGAAAACTTGTGGGGAACGGGGGAGAAGTTCAGTCGTAATTCAAACCCCTTATGATAGTCAGTTGATTTATGATAAAGTCCATTGATACGATCGATAGCTGCGGCCCTGCGTTGATACCGGCTGTAATAAATCGAACACACAGAGTCGAATAGATTACATAGTGGATCTTCGCAAACTTTGAAACTGAACAAAGTTATCAATGAGCGTTATCACATATACAATAATTATTGGCAATATTGAGATAAGCAATTCCAAGCACGTACTGTACGTACGACAACGTATCCGAAATGTACTTAAGTTTCTTGTTTACTGGCTAACGTAAAGCAAATAAGCGCCTTTTCATTCATACGATGTAACACTGGAAAGCAGCCTAGAACCACTGATTCATCTATCTAGGTATGCCTTGATATCACTAGAACAGTTGACATACTGGCAGCGAAACGTAAGGTCGACATAAATCATTTGCATTTCGATTACTTTTTTAATCTGAGTAATATATGTCGCAAACAGTTTAACTAATAGAAGGAATTCTCTTAGATAAAAGAGTAAATCTAGTTAGAATCTTAGATTTTTTTAATGGAACGTTAGGGGGCTAAGCGTATTAACTGCTATATCCGCATATGTTTAGGATATAAAAGAGAATCTGATAATCCAAGAACGTTATTCCAGTACACTATTGTCAGGGTTGTCTATTAAGTGTGAATGTATCGTGGATAATGAACCCCGTCCTCTACGGCGTATTAAAGTGCTAGCTAATTTCCGAAGATACTGTTGTTTGTAGTCAACGGTCGAGAGGTCTTTGTCTATCGAATGGGATTAGCCAGGTATAGAGTAATCGAGACATACCTAGCAGAAAAGGCATCTGCAAATGAAGCCGAAACCAGGCGATATGACCTGACAATCACATATGTTATCTCACCTATCGTTCACTTTTTCCTAATGAATAGGTTGTTTTATTCGGAAGGAATATCCTGACTTTACAAGAGGTTTGTTACGCTAAAAAATGGTGGAAGGAGCAAGCTAAAGAATGGTGCGCTCTTCAGTGTTGATACTAATGATCACGTTGAAAATAGTACACAAGGAAAGGCGATCACGATCTGGAGAAGCAACGAAAACAATTTATTTTTATGACCTTAGTAGAAAAACACAAACGGCACCATAGTTTGTCACTTCATCCGGCTGAAGAAAAGCATCCGAAAAGGAAAGCGAATCGCTAGAGAAGGGCTCCTTAGGGATGCCTATCTCCAGTCTGAGAATTTAGCTAGGTGGATTGGAAGTGACAAGCCAAAGTTTCCACATATCATCAAGAAGCAGACTTATTGCGAGAAAATATTAGGAGATTATATTAGTGTTCATCTAGGCAAAACAGCGACCAAGTTCATAGACGACTGTCAACCTCGATAAGACAACACACACAGATCCGTGCAGCAGATCTGCGTAATAGTGCAGTGCGTAATATGTGCGCCTGTTGAGTTTCAGGACACGTAGTGGGTTAGGTTCGAATTCGGGCATAGACCCACATCGTTTCATGCAGTCATCCTGCGATACGTTATGATTACATAAACCTTTGCTGCGAAAGACAAGCTAAAGTGAAATAGAACAAATTTCGTAATATAGATTCCGTAGATTTCCATAACCAATCTGACGACGCTAGGCTGACCGTTCTTATTCACATATGTATTTACACGAGTATAAAAGCGATGTTAATGTAGTCAGTTGGACAAAATACATACAAACGTTATGGTCATGTGTTAAAGTAAATAACAAATTGTGTTCTATTTATATTCCTGGCCCCTTGTTAGTTTAACCAAATTAATAGATTTGATACTTGTTTGCTTTACCTTTGTTAGTTACAGAACGCACGGTTTATAAAACGCCGCGTCGATACCTTTCACTGTCTGGAAATATGTCCGACGTAATGCACAAGATTATTGGTACCCTGAAGGGTGGAGGAATGAATACCGTCATCAACGTTCTTGAAGATCCTAAACTGATTAACAAACTGGGCAGTGGTCCAGCTGCCTCACAGGAGGCTCGATCCGCTGATGACTTCTCAGTCTCAGAGAAGGCGCAGTGCACCGATCCAGAAATAATCTCCCATGGCCCACATCTAAGTGCTATTTCAACCAAATCTAAACTGTAGACTATATACTTATGATCTCATAATATTCTCAATAATGATAATTTAAAAAACGGTGTATCTTCCTGATATACACATAACGTATACTACCCACACACTGCCCCTACGAAGTGCAGTATCCAATCAGAGAGCAACATTTTGAAAAAATACACGATTTTCTATTATATAACCTTCCTTTTCCTCTTGTGTAATACGAACTAATTAGTTTTTTATTGCCTATTTGCCAGTCGCTTACATCAGATACGTGATGACTAGAAAAAAATTTGTGACGCCGCTCGGCCATATAGAAAGCTCATGCAGTTTTCCTCATTTTAGCATACGTAAGGAATTATCCTTTAACTGAAAGGCTCCTTCAGCTGAAAGCTAAGATATTCATACTTATTTTTTTAGAAAGCGAACTCCCGACTTAGTTGGTACAAGTAAAGTTACACATAAATCGCTTAAATTTATGTTTGCTTCAATTGAAACGAATCCTGATGGAGATACTTAACAGTCAAAACGGGCCTTTACGTAATTAGATACGATTATGTTGCCCTTAAGTGTCAAAACATTTGCATGCTCCATTATTATACTGAGCAAATAAATAATTTTCTTTATTCACGCATGTTGTGTAATATTTGTCGTTGGCGAGTTTTGAAGCAGCGTTTCCTGGGGGTGGAAAACCTGAAGTGAAATAAAAGTAATATTAATTATCAATCTAAACACCGAAGGCTAATATTTAGCAAGACGTCTTCTTGTGCCAAGCATACATAAAGTGAGCACTTCTATTAAACAAACCATACCAGCTACAGGGAACGCTGCTTTTTGCAGTACTACTGTCAGTTTCTTTTATCTAAGTATAGAGCTTGGCCATATCCTATAACGTACCGAAAAAACAAACCGAAATCGGGTAGTAATGGAGTAGTAGTCGAGTTGTGAAACGATTGATTTTTGTTTGGGTAGAAATATTCTAAATCTAAAATACTCCTACCCAAACCATGCTAAATGATAGAAATTTCGTTTAAGGTAAGAATCTGCTGAAAAAACACTGGCCATGGCCGAGACTAGTAGCAACTCAAAGTAAACATTTTTTATCAGAATGTATCTTGCTAAATTCAAAAGCAGCTAATGTGAAAGTTTATAGTTTATCAAGCGCACGTAAATCAAATGTAAGACTTTATTGAGTCGAAAAAGAAAGAATTATATCGAATACTGAAGGAGATTATGATGCTAGCAGATTTAGATTTTTTGTTCTTAATTTTCTAAAAACACACTACGTCGAGTCATTATCCGTATACATACTTATTATCTTCTTAAAATGGTCATCGCATTTGCCAATTTATTTTTCATAACAATGTTAAACAATAATGGTTATGTACAATGTTCTTCTTCTGATGGTTTTGAGATAGTCGGTCCAATGTCATGACCCCAGCGAACCGCTTTCTAAGTTTGACTTCACGAACTATCCCGAAGCTGGCGCCGTAAGACACATCGATAGGCAAAGTAATGAGTCTCCTTTTGCACATCTTACTCAGATATTAAGGTCATCATCGGGGTCGTCTTCCTCATCAAAATCGTCCTCACGGTCCAAAGTGTAGCTGATCTCACCGGCCCTAAGAAAAAATCAGTTTCATTATTCATGATGATTGTCTTGTTGGTATATTATATCTTATCTATCACAACCTGTGATCTTAGTTTAATCTCATTTTTTCCTATTAAAACCTTGAAAAACTTATCTGCTACCTTACATATTGTTTACAAGGTTCAGCGAATCTGATGTCTCAGATCGAATATGCAATTTTTATTACAAAAAAAAGGTCAAGTCCTGGATTGCTGTTTTAGTAGATTAGGAGGAAAAACTACTGGTTATATCTAAAGAACAGGTAACTTAGCATTTCCCTTCTACAAAACAAATTGTGTCAACAATGTTAACAAGCTATACTACTTTATTAAAGTAGCTAAAAATAGAATCAATGAATTGTGGCTGGATTAAAATATGCTGACTCATATCACAACAGCAGATTCAGAGATATTAAAAAAAATCGAAGATCTTCGCCTTTAGTAGAATAACGAAACATCAATAAACATATAAAAATCCTATGAAAGAGACAAAATGAATTCGACACTTACTCTGTGTAAGGCAGGACAAGCTGATCTCTGTCTTTCTTCTCCTCGGCGCTACTGTTTACATTGAACGTCAGTCCAGCAAGCATATTGCTAGCAGAAGCAGCTGGTTTCAGACTCATCTCTGCAGGCCAATTGGTAATTATGGAACTGCTTGCCATAACTCCGTAACTTATCCGGACTTCCTCCTGTTAGATTAAAAATGGAAGAACACAAATAACACAAATCGCGACATCGTCAATTTTAGCAGCTACCAAAGGCTTAGAGAACTCTTACTCCGGCGATACAGACAGACACATATATATGAAGAAAAAGAACAGATACACCAATTAACCTGCATATCTGTTGAGATCGTGCTTAGCTGAAGAATTTATTTTTCCTCCCAATGTTTGCTGGTTCTGGTTTGTCGAGTTAAGTTTCTAATTTTCAACAATTTTTCCTTGGTTTTACTTAAATTTGTCTCAAGTGTAATACTGCAAGGGCCCATACCTTTTGCAGAATAGCTTTTCCCTTCGGCTTTTTCCATAAAGTGTTTACAATGAACAGATCACCTTTTCTTGAGAGCAGTTCCACTCGTTGGCTACATATATACTCTAATTTTTGCAGTTCGTCAGCAGCTGTTAGCTCTCGGTTAGCAACGCAAACCACCTGACGTACTGTATGTGTAAAAACGGACATTATTTATAAGGTGATTATTATTTTTTTATATTTATTATAATTATTATTAATTATAATAAGTGATTTATATTTTACGTTACTACTGCCGCTAATCAATGTTTCAACCTGAATCACAGAATAAGCTAAGTTTTCTAAACTGAAACAGGCGTGAATTTCGTTTCCTTGGGAAAGTTTATAACGAAATTACGAAATTAAATTTAGTCTTCTTTGCTTTTTTAGTCTATTGCCTTTAATTTGATCAATATAATACTTCAATATAATAGCACTGATAATGAAAAACGTGTGTGGAATGAATAGTCACATACGTTGACAAAAGAGATTAAGCATCAAGGCAGTGAAATAACTGAATAATTCTGACACAAAAGGGGAGTCATGAAATATATAGTTAGAACATTTTTGATTAAAATAGCTTACCATTATCATAGGATAACCAGTCGAGTACATCTCTGAAAAGCTGTTTTAGGTCCGCTTTTCCAAGACAGAGTAGCAACTCAACGCCGTGTAAAATCAGCACCGTTGGCGTCGCTGCAAAGAATAGAACGATTCAATCCAAGTGTTTAAATGCCCAAGCTTTACCGTCCACGCTCCTATAATTTGTTCAGCTCCGTTTCTTAGGATAAATACAAAATATCGAATTTGGCCAGCTAATTTCGATAATGGTACAAAGGGTAATATCTGAAAACTTATAAAGCCCCAACGATAGTAGAAATTATAGCACCTACGAATTTTAGTCTACGTTTTGTTCTCTTTTAAGTACCTTTATCAACAGGTGGAGGCCATAAGGTCGAGCAACTCGAGGGTGGCAGAATATCGGGACGCGACGCATTTAGAACTTGTAAGTTATAGCCTCTGAAAAGAGAGATAAAGAAAATGATATAAAATTCTATGTTGTAGTAGATTGAGCATGTTAGCGTTGAGCAATTCATAATATCCCCATGTATAGAAACATTGAGAGATAGTTAGTTCTTAACTATCTTATGAAATATAACTCACTTGTTTCTCAGCACCTCACAGTACAACTTCAAAATTGCGAGAGCACTTTGTTCAGAATCGTCTGAAACGTATACAAAATTCGGATGCTTAGAAATTGAAAGAAGATTAAATAAATCTTCAGTTGGAATTACTACGGTCGACTTGGTGTATGGTAGTTTGTTTTCATTAAATATAAAGCACTTCCAGATGGTGAAAAACACGTAGTCGGTAAGTGCAGAGGTTAGCTGTATACACAGTACTTTTATATCTACCTATGAAAAAAGTTAATTAGACAGTAAAACAGCGGAAGGAAAAATAGGGAGGGGGCAGGGTGTAGAGTAAGTGGCTCATGCGCAGCCCCCTGTGAGCGTTGTTATGGCGATCACAGCTAATTCAGATTTCAGTGTTAGCTAATAACTAATATTTTACCATGCCGTTTCATAGGTTTGTTGGAGAAAAGCCCAGATAAATCTAGCAAAACCCCTTTAAAATAATGCCTAACAACTTAAGTACCAAACGCAAAAAAGTGTAAGATACAGCATCCGATTTTCAACCGAAAAATGTTAAGGTTTTGTAAACTACGTGATATATGTTTTTTTGTATATATAAATGTCAAAGCATGAGTAGTGTATCTTAAATTATAAACGTAATAATATCTTTAATCTACGTAAAAATTGACATATATTCCACGAATGCTCCTGAAATGCTCATTTCAGGTTTAAATAGAGAGTTTCGTATTTAAATGACCGGAGTTCTCACAACTTTAGCGTACAGATCGAGTATCGTTAGGTTGACGTCGATGACGTATTTTAAATCAAATGTAATACACGCCAACTACAACTCTCGTCACTTCGAAAAATAATAATGCGTCTCTTTTTTTTAGTACACTTTTTAATAAAAATGATACGTCCATATATTTTACAAAGAAAACATGGCACGCTTGTGTATAGTATTCATTTTGTTAGCTAAAAGCAAAGGCGAAAACACTTACCATAGATGAGGAACAGCCCCCGAATATCCTCACCTGCGAGAATTTTGTCAGCCATAACACGTTAGCTAATTAATACAATGCTCATGCTTAAAATTAGCATCACAATACTAATTACGTATTGATTTATTATCCGGTTTTTAGGGCAAATTTTGCCCCTTTTTTGCACGCAACAGCTCTTATATTCATCATAAGCGACGCAATAACAAATTCAAACGACTGGCCTGTGTTGCAGATGTAGGTCCGTTAATTTTCGCTTAATGCTCGGAACGATAGAAAGGGTGCGAGCGCGAAACACAGAAGAACAATCATTCCCTACTGAGGTAGGACAACTGAATTTTCGAACAATGGAGAGTTTTTTCATCAGACAGATTTTCTATTGTATATTAGTTTTCTGTGTTCACTGACACGAGATACCCGCTAGATGAGTAAACATGTCATAGTCTTTTAGACGAAAATTTACTATTGGAGCCCCATCCGCCACACGGTGTAGTAAATAACTTTTTGGGCCTACAGAATGATGTTTTCACCTGGAGATCAACCTTAAATTTTAAAACATTTGATTATATTAATTGTTTTAAAAGCTTCGATGAGGCACCGAACATTAATAAGATTTGGCTTCGTTCGAAGTGTGTTTTAATTTGAAACAGGCCGATAACGTAATGAGGTTCTGAGAATGCATTTGGAATATGGAAAAAGAGAGAAGACAAATTAGTAGCGAGACGAAATTCTGTCTAATAAGGATGATGATTATAATAGACTACCGCATTCAGCGAAGCAAAACGAAGTGAATTGATAAATGCATTTATACCTGAGCGAAAGAAGTCGACTTGTTAGTTCTCTCGAAGTTATAGAGATTTAAAGGTGAAGTTGTTTACGCACGACATTAGCAGGGAATATTAACGCGGATATGTAAGTTTTCTAAGGTAACCTTCGTAATTCGAAAAAAATTTTCAAATAGTGCTTGAAATGACAATATCTTCATTAAATCATCATTGTGTAAAGGAACCTCCTCCAATCATGTATTAATGGTTAATTTTGCTTTTTGAGATATATTTTACTTATAGATTATATCTATGGAGTGTTGAAACCTCAATTTGAATAAAGTTAAAGTACATCAGGTAGAAATGATCTAGGAAATTCAATTACCAATTTTTACTCTGTGGTATAATGAAAGCAGTATCAATGTTCTATGGAGTAACCGTTGAAAGAAGATTGCAGCCAACATCACTAAAATCACATGAAGTGTTTGATGTAACCTTCTAAACGACCTCAGAGTAGATTATAACCTGGGTTTCTATTTCACTAGGTCTTATACACCGTATATCATGACATTTCAGCTTAGAATACGGTACTCATAGTATTACTCATGTAGGTTGGTAGTTGAATTTATTTAATTGGTATTTCCATTCAAATCATCTATGTAACTTCCAGTCATTTTCGGTTTCAATAGGGCATAAAACTGATGTAGTGCTTGAGGGACAAATGACTGTTTTTTAGTAGTTTTCTAAAACTTAATTCCAATAACTCTGTCTAGCTCAAAATTTATAATGTATAAAGCATACGATTTTTAAAGGTAAATTGAGTCAGATACCACCAAGTCCCGTTTAGCTCCAACACTTCATCACCGATCTGCTGTACCTATGAAACAACTACCTTGTTAACGTGGCTTTATGTACATTGAGAGACAGTATATCCTTGTAGACAGTGTAACGAAAGAAATTCTAATTTCAATGGCTTCTTCTATTTACGTACTATATATAAAAAAACACACACCATGAATATGATCTTACGAAAGTCAAAAGATACAATTAGTTTAAACGGCTTGATTAATTTCCTTTAGCTCAGCCCAGAAATAGACAAACCCCCACTTCACCCAGGGTCTTCGGTCGTTTAAATAATATTTTTGGCCGATTTGTCTAAAAAGAATGACCTACATGTCTAAACTCCAATTAGTTGGTCCAAATAGAGTTAAGAGCAATTCCAGTTTGATCTTTCTGTTTCATTTTATACGAATTAGTTTTGACAAGCACATGCATAGCACGAAGTATATTGTGTACTATCGTTCTCTTACAAGAACACAGTGGCAGCTCATGTAGTTAACCATACAGTCCACCGGCTAGCACTATCTATGCCATTGCTTTAGTATTATATTACTATTATACGTGCAGCCGTAGCACTCAACAGACCTTGTTCGCGGAGTTTGGCGAGCCCTTTCTCCTTAGGCGGGTAGAACTTGCCCTTCTCGCGCACTTGGATGGCATGCGCACACTGGTGCTCTGTGCAGCGGTGAAGCAGCTGACCAGTGAGGAGGAAATTTTGCCCATATGCTATTGATGCATCTTATCAGCTACAGTGGCATCCAGCAAATAGCGGAGTAACGATAGCTGCTCTGTTGCTCACCATTGACATCTTTGATATCGGCAAAACCGTCATCACAAACAGGAACACATCGTGTTACCATCGCGAATCCGTAATCTTTACTCTTCAGACACCGGACTTCAGGAGTCGCTGTCGGGGACGTGAAAAGCCCACGGCCACTGCCTGGCGTGGTGCTCAGGCCACGCGTAATAGCCCTTGGTGGTACCTCGCATGCTCCTGCGCTGGGTGTTGGACAAGGCGGGCAGCATGACAAATCAACCGTTAAGTCGTAAGTACTACAAATGAAAGAGTGAAATATATGAAAAATAAATCGGTAAGCTTTTTACATGTTCGCTTGTAGTCTGCGGGAAATGTTACTGCATTACAGACTAAAAATTAACAGTAGCATTGCTATCATTGGGTTATGACGAGCAGGTACCGTCTCGCTTAACTAACTGGCGATGGAATGATGAAGTTTAACAGCAAAATTTAACGATTAAACGAGAATAGTATAGCAAAGACCCGGATGAAAGTTGATAAATAATGGACATGTGACAGGAGAAAAACAATAAAGCCAACGGGATTGAAATACATCATCTCGTTTTGTTCGTAAGGAAAAACTGACGCAATGGATGCTCCCGTGAACGTTCACTGCGCGTGTGCCAACAATATATGGTGAAAGTGATATTGGCTGGCAGAGCAGACCTACCGGTAAACAAAAGCTAAAGGGACTTGTAGAAAAGCAGATCTATCTGGGTCTTTTTTTTTGTCTGATGATTGATAACCTGGTTAACTGGTCCCTTCCCGACGGAACGGAAAAATCTATGGAGTCTGTAACATTTATTTGCTTCGCTAATTGCTAAGCGTAGACAATATACCAGAGTTCACTAAGAACCGAAACGCGCGAAAATTACATGCGTCAGTTTGTGTCTGGGGCTCGAATTTAGGCTAATGGTAGACTACAAACGACTGTCCGTGCTTAACTGCACTCAACATGAACGAAAAGCTAGTGACTAGGATTATCGCTATTGTTACTGAGATTAGCCTTTCGCCTCTTTTGATTTTGGTATCTATTTTGAGCTGCTAACTGATCGCCATTATTACAGTCCCATTATCAACTATCTCAAATAATTTTATCTCAGGTTTTGTTGGCCCTGAACTAAATTGTTCTGACATATCGCTCATCATTGAGTGCGATGACGTGTTTACTTTTATGAGCTCGATTCCGCTCACTTAAATATAGTCGCTGGCAGGAAAACATCGGTAGGAAGATTCCTCTATTCACGACAAAACACGCCCGGTTGCCTGGGCATTGTCTCCATTATGTTTTAGGCTCGTTGTGGTAAGATTATCGATAAACTTGAGCCTTTTTCGCATGCCTGTAGCCTCATTTAAGGATGTGACACCGTTTGGTTGCTACACATCGACTCAGCCTTAATTAAACAACCGAACACTGAAGTATCTTACATATAGCGATTCATAGTCACCACTGCTTACTATTTTGTTTTGAGACAATGGAAAGCGCCACTCATAAAAAAATCTATAGCATATTGCTGATGAATCTTTTACAATGAAGAAAAAGAGGAAATCTTTTGCGTTCCCTGTTACGCATAGTCATGTAACAATAACTTCGATCATAAAAATAGAGGGTTTTTTATACTCTAAACTATAGAATATGTGAGTATATACTATACTTTAATGGCGGTATGCTTTCGTAATGCAGCTTTTGCACGAATGCAGGATAATACACTTTTTGCTAGTTGTTCGCTATATATCAATAATTTGATATTTTTTTAGACGGGATGTTCTAGTTACTGCAACGCTCGTAGGCTACAGACCAAGTGTCTTTGAATCTGTCCAGATTTGGTTGTGCAACATTTTTAAGATGTGTGATATAATTAGGTTAAAGTGAAAGAGCAGTGAGTTTCTCACCAGAGTTACTCGAGGAAAAAGGTTTTTCGAGTAATATTTCCCTAGACCGTGGTAAAAAGATTTGATGTTGTTTCGTTGAAAGTACCTCCATCGTCCTTGAATGTGTTCTCGATTTGTTCCGCTCTTCGGTGGCCCCACACTAACGGTTTATGTGTTCCTTTATTACTGCGAGTATGCGCAAGACCATTCAGTCTTCTTGTGCAATGCTTCTAGGCAGCTCCTATTCGATTTGTTGCCCCCTGTTGTAGCGATACAAGAGCTTTTAAGTAAATTTTGTTTATAATTAGTTTATTTCGTAGCAGGAACGGCACTGGAACGGGCGCTCTATGTGGTAAAATAACTAAACTAAAAATTGTGCTTAAATCGACAATTTCGTTGACTTTAGAAGCATAATATTATGAAATTTTGCAGAAAGCATAAAGATCTTTGATACGTCCACATCAGGCTAGTGTTAGGGCGTGAAACATCATTTGGTTCTCGTGTTCTTGAAATCTTTGGTTCTGCAGAAATGAGGCGAAGCTACAAGGCGGTATGGAATGTTCTTCTTGAAGAGAACTTGCCGACACGGAATCCTGTTGATCTCTTCGATAGGTGGTTTACAGAAGCTAAAGACTCAAGTAAGGGTTACTTGTTTATTTCAATACTTGTTGCTATTTTGTATGCACTCAGCGGTAAGCGCTTTTTTACGAGCCATAGCTGACGTTGTCGTAGCGTGTCCCTTCAATGTGACGTTCATGAAGATCCGTTTTCAAGGTGCTAACCAAAAATTCGACAATTGGATTTTGATGTTATATTTACAGATACAATCTACGAAACAAACGCGGTCGCAGTGGCGTCCGCCACGCGGGATGGTATACCATCGGTCCGAATGGTCCTGCTAAAACAATTCGATGAGCGCGGCTTCGTTTTCTTTACAAACTATGATTCCCGGAAGGGTCGAGAACTAGTAAGAACTGCAAAATGCCTATTAAAAAGAAACATAAGTTTTTTTACTACGGCAACTTATTTCATATCGCTGTGTGAAAAATGTAAAATACATCGAGTACAGATCGATCTAATTAGTCCGTACATTAGAATTAATAACACGTGAACGGTAGTTATACAACAATCAGTTTTCACAATTGTGTTAACTACTTTATTGCTTTAGCCGAACAGTGCCTCCGCGATGGCGAATTGTTGAGGAAATTTAAATAAGTGAATGAAGTTTTATTTACAGCTAAGCAATCCTCGGGCAGCAATGCTTTTCTACTGGGACCAGCAGCACAGGCAGGTTCGCGTCGAAGGGCGCGTGGAGAAGATTTGTCGACAAGAGTCAGAAGCTTACTTCGAAACACGACCCCGAGATAGTCAGATATCCGCTTCAATCAGCAAACAGAGTACCGTTGTCGAATCCAGAAAGGTCGGACGCTTTGCATTCCTCTCTGGAAGTTCCCATTAGCAAATATAACAGAAGTTATGAATAGTTACCGTTAATCAACACCCTTATACTTAGTATTTTTCTTCGTTTTAATTATTATGGATGTAAACTAAATCACGTATTGAACGTATGTTTCAGGTTCTGGAAGAGGAGCATGAGGCTTTGAAAATCAAATATTGCGACACTTCGACACCTGTTCGCTGTCCGGATAACTGGTAGGTACTTGTAATTTACTCCTTTCGTTAATGTTTTACCAGATTAGGAAGTAGACTGGGTATTGTGGACACTAACCACTGCGAGGACAACCGAGCGGAATTGGCACGAAGTGCGAAGCATGTATGCGCTGAAACGAAGCGTATTGTCCGACCAGATGCAACGCTGACGCTTCGCTCTCTTCGGTACTAATAAAGAAGTATTTCATTTAGGAAGAATCATATTTGGCTCCCAAATAAATTTCGTCTGCCTTAATTAAATACTTCGCCATCTTGTTATATCTAGTGTGAGCAATTTTTGAATGTTGAGTGTCCCATGTTCATGTGTGCAATTAATATAGGTGCAAAGCATTCGATCATCCGATGTCGTACGGTAATAACTAAAATGAAATAATGGATCACGAGGTTAGGTGCCCTGGATGCGAATCTGCTTTTCTAAAATTAATGGTATCATAAAGCATGACGGGAAGCGAATACGGTAACTAATATGCGCAATAAAACTTTTCGGTTTTCAGGGGAGGTCTGATTCTAATTCCTGAATGCTTCGAGTTTTGGCAAGGTCAGACAACGCGACTACACGATCGATTAATATTCCGAAAGCCCAGTTCAGAAAAAGAGATTGAACTAGCAAAGTATGGCTGGTACCTTGAAAGACTGGCGCCTTGAAAGATTCAATGATCCAAGTTGTTGGTCAGTGACCGCTGATAAATAGACATAGCAATATGGGTTGAAGAGCTCAGTCGGTTACCCGACGATGTCAGAAAAAGAATCAAATGTCTTTCATAGTTAATTTAGAAATACGTAAAAAGTATAGTTTTTAAGTTCTATACCAGAAAAGTGCTAAATTCAGACCCTATTATTTATAAGAAAATTCTCTATGATGTTCAGAATTTATTAGTATTTACCTTTTTAATAATAGCTACTTTTATAGGACCACTTTTGATACTGGGTCTATGTTGTGTAAACTCGACATTAGCCACGGTAAATATCAGCCAGATACGTATATCGATTAATTAGAGACAAACACAAATACAGTCATTAAGTATTTGGATGGCGTAGATTCCTACGTAGTAATGTTTTTGCTATTTTCCATGAAAACAAACAGATAAGCCATGCAAGCGTTCGGCAGACGCTTGATTTTAAGTTTTCGTTTTTATTTTTTTATTTTTATCTTACTTCGTTTTTAGTTTTAATTTTTATTTTAAGGTTGATTTTAAGTAGACGATTTCATTCGGGCATAGAGTCAGTTATTTTTAATACAAAAAGTGAAGACGACAGGGGCGTTTTCGCCTTTTTCGAGTCTTTTAACAGGAATCGTGGATTCCTTAGACAAGAACAGTTATGTCACCTGAGTTTAAGGTATGATAATTGCTTCAACCATAATCTATAGCATTGTCGTTTTTGTCTGATGATGCGTCTGGCGTTTGGTGCGCTATATCAAAATGTCTATCATCTGATAAAGGTAGGTGTGCTTGTACGGTGTAGTAATGTAAAAAGGCACAAGTTTATACTCCATACGCAAAAGCGTATGACTTGCTTGCCTTAAAGGATATATATATATATATGCAAAACATGTATGCATTGACCATATATATATATATATATGGTCAATGCATACATATATATGCATTTTATATATTTTGCATCCTGATAAACGGACGTAAATTCGTGTTTCGTACCATTTGCAGTAATATACCTGTATGTAAGTGTTGGGGGACAATATATATACAAAGATTTTGAGCAGCACATGTTCTTAGTTTGGGCGACACATACATGAGTGCAATTGTTGGTGTGGAAAATTAGCAAATGTGGTATATTTGTTATCCACTGGTGAAGCGTTCCAGGCTTTAAGCTTTAATTGTCACACCCTAAGAACAGGGTAACACTTCGTAGCGGGAGCAAGAGAGAATCTGACAATTGAGAGAATCATAGAGTCGAATGGATTAAATTTTAAGAAAAAAAACGGTGCAAATGTGTAAGAACCATGTTGCTGTAGCTACATTTTAGTTACCTTAAAACTGCGAAAAAGTATACGATGGCATGAAACGAAGTCGTCGCAATTGTAGTAAACAGTTCGACACCAAATATACATTAACATCTTCGATTTTGTTTTACAGAATAATGTTGATTGTTATGAATAAATTATTATGTGTATCTAGAACGCATGTATGTTAACAAACTCGCTACGACTCTCTTATTTTAAGTAAACGTATTTTTTAAGCGCGTTACGGTCTACTACAACTCGTATGAGCCCTAGGCGTTGTTGGAACATTGACATCTTGTTTCTAGCTGGGAATATCTGAGATAGTTGATGTAAATATTGATGTATAGTGTTTGCGTTTGCAATATTGGTGCCTTCGTCCAACCATTAATGGAAATAAACTTCGGCAGCGTCGAATAACTATCGCCATTTCACTCTCGGCAGCAATGACGTTCCCCAGGGTTAAAAAGAGAAAAAAGCTTAATCATGTTTGGATTAAGCATATCAATGAATATTTTTCATTGGAAGGTCACCTAATGATATCTATGTTTATTTCGAATACGCGTCAATTTACGAATTCACAGACATGAATACGATATCAAAAGGACAGTAGTTATGACCTTACAATAGATTACAGAAGTGGGTGTATAGTCTATCTTTAAATAAGAGGCCTCTGATAGAACTTGAATTTGGCAGAGCAAAATGCGAAGCTTATTTGCCCCTTATTTGTCAACGTGGTTTCAGACAAGACACTTACGGTACGCCAGAACACTCACAAATTAAACGGAGTGACTGTTGACTAGTTGTGCCAATGAAACTCACCGAATTTGAATCGCAATTCAACAGTATTATAGAGTCACCATAAAAATTTGGTTTAGAAGATTGATGATCTTTTGAAAATAGCTAGCTCAGCTTATGTTTAACCATGTGTTACGTACCTTACCGTTATAGCCGGACTGTTTTTGTCGGATGTTTAACATATCCGCTCCTAACCTGGTTCTGCATAATGCTGTGAAAATATTTCGAGCTTCATATAAAAGTAAGCGGTTCTAAGAACAACTTCCATTTTAATTTGGTCTATTTCCTATTTGCATTTGCAGACACCTTAACGTGTACTATAAAATCACATCAGAGTCTTCAGCGAACGAAAGCTGTGTGCTGTGAACACGGTGGTGAATTCTTTAAGGGACATACACACACGCAGATATGTAATCTTTTTGACCTAAATCCATCTAAGCGATGTGAGATTCTCTGGATGATCCTTTTTGTGCGCAAGCAACTTTGAATAACAAGCATGAATTAAGCGCGGTGAACCCGATGGAAAATACGGAAGGCCCACAGCAGAAACCAAACGAATATGTTTTGCCTTTAATAATTTTCCTATTTGCGGAAAGAACGTTTCGTAGTAATTGAAATTTCGTTAATTTGTCACTCATCGCTTAGCAATATGATTTATACCTAGATACGAGTCATACAGAACGATGTGCATCTACAGCTGATCAAATAACTGTTTTAGAATATTTGCAGTTGACAGGTAGTCAATTATGAGTACCATCGTAATCAAATTTCGGTTGAGTTGTTTAATAAGTCTATATTTATAAGCTAAGAAGTGGAGAGGTGCTTTTGTTGTTTCGCGTTGTTCTTGTGTGGGGTTCTTCGATTCCCAGGATGACGTCCAGGAGGATTTCGATTTATAAAACTTCAAATTTAAGAATAAGGACGTACTCATGAAATCTCGTTGTTTGTTTACGAAATATAATTGCAGATAATATCCTAAAAAAAAAAAGCCGTTGAGTTATTGACTTCGTGGATATGTCATAGATACTGTAACGTAACCTTATGATACTATAGCAAATTAATCCCTTTGGGGTATTTGTTAAAGTCAAGCCGTAGGAATAAACTTGGTTTTTGACACGATCAGCTGAAAGATCTACACAATTGACTTATTCACTTGGATTTCTCTAAATTATTTCGAAGATACTGATTTTAAAAGAGGTTTAAAAAAATAACGTGATTAATTGGCAAACTCGTTAGTAAATATGTGGGTGGGGGAAGATTGGTAAAGTTTCGACAACAAGACGTCATGCGTAAGTATCAACCAACATTTTTTGACATTGTTCTGTGTCTTCTCCCTACGTACAAAAAATGATCGATCAAATGCACTCATAACAACAGTCCCTAGGTCGAATACACTCTCGCACCATAATGATTGATCATCTACTACAAAATTGAACAAATAGCTTACCCAACACTAAAACTAAAGATCTCTAGCTAACAAAAAGGCTTTCGAAATGCTTTTAAAAAAAAAAAACGAAAATCGTTTTAAATCTCTACAACGATTTTTCTTGGAGCAAATGTACTACTTATGCACAAGTGAACCATGACCTGGCAGATAGTTATGGTTCAGACGCTTTACTCCAAACCTGACCACTTCCGGAATCAGATCTCGAAAAAAACGGATACTTCAAATTCTCACTCTCTTTCTTAATTACGTTTCAGCCTATCTTTATTCAATATCAATAGTGGTACCTTATGGATCGAACATCCCGTCTTTTTATTGTTGTGTTTCAATGGTGTATCCAACAACGCAAAGGTCTATTTTACCACCGCCGCCGCCGCCGCCGCCGTCGTCGTTACTCGGAAAGGTGGCCCCTGTCAAAAAGTATAGTCGGAATCAACTTGAGTGCACTTCGAAAAGGCCTCGACGAAACCATACCGAATAAGAAAACGTACTCGGAAGCTGATGCGATCGATCAATAAAAACTTCAGTTAATCAATACAACGTTTATATGAGATTCTTGTAATTGCTGATCTGCTATATACAAATTGGCATCTTCAAGTGCTTGTAACCCTTAGGAACGGCTGCATAAAATGCATGATTTGAGTTTGGATAAAGGCCAAATGCTACTTTTATCCAGCACGAATTAATTTTAGCAATAACATGCTTTATTGATTGACGCAAAAACGACACTAGACTTTCACTACTAGACCAAAGTTGATACAAAATCAAAAGGCAGCTTGTTGCCAAAATTGCCTTTTTCATAATTTTCATCCAGATCTACTATCAATCTTAGGATGAATATGAGACTTGAATTCAATTTTTTTTTTTTTTCATTGAATCACTTCAACAATGGCCAGTCGCATTATTCACTACATACTCTAAAGCTTCACTGGTATTTTTTTTTTTTAAAAACAAGACTGTAAGACGGATTCATTAACGTCTAATTCAGACATGTTATTAATATTTGCCGTAATCACACAGGCAGCATTGTCACATATTAAATTAGACTAAAAATAAATTTTGCGAGGCAAAATCCAGAAATTAGCAGCGGACGCTTTGCCCGTAGCTGCTATCGTTAGGAAAGCTCAATTATGATGCGCTGGTCATATTAAACTACTTTTGAACAGTATATACAATGTAACTTACTGCACATTAGATCTGACTACGTAACTAAGTGTATCTCTGAAAATGTGATAGCAATAAGAATACAAATAAATAGTCACTGTCGCTAATAAATGCAGAGGTTTCATATTTATTAAATATAATAGTGAGAACACTAAACGAAGGCGTTACAATCTGGCAGGGTGTATAATAATCAGATAGCGACATAGCAATTTTGAGTGTGTAATAATATTAATTAAAATAATTTAGTAATGCTTTTTTTTCACGTTTGCTTCAGGTCGTTGGACACATGCTGACAAGTACCTGTTCAACACAACGCGATTTATTTCGAAATTTTCTCAAAAAATCATTGTACCAGAATCATGATTTTTGGTGTTGTTTCTGCTAAATGCATAGCTTTCGTTGGCGAACATCTTACCCTCATTTGCTGTTTCTTTAATATGCTTCGAGTTACTCTACATGAAATTGAGGGTTACATATGATAAGTTAAATATGTATCTTATTCAAACATCACTGACGCAGGTACTACAACAACTAATCCTTATTTTTTGACAAAATAGAATTCTACCATCGAAGCTTGACCTAAACTAGGTACTGACTCAAAACCTGACTAATCGGCAGGCAATTAAATAGAATTGGCATAGCATCCTGCTAGAAATTCATAAGGGTCGGAGTAAATTCTATGGAGTAATGTGAACGGCTATCTGTTGTGTGAAAAAACTGTCTCACATCGCATGCGTAACAACAAGTTGATTACATTCACATATGAGTAATTTGGCCTGCTCTAAAAATAAATCTACATCCAGTGTTTGGTTGACAGTGTGTTAACGTTTACGTCGCCCGAATTTATATTTTATAGAAACAGCTTCCCTTGCCCATGAGGGCTATCTTTTTCCTTAGCAGTATGTACTAATGCGTACATATGTATCAATTTCCACGCGAGCAACTCAAATGTTGGGCCATTGGGCTCCGATATGACAAATACTTTAAATATTTGTCACATCGGAGCTGCTCCCAAGCCGACCCACTTCCATAAAAGTAATAGCACCATTAGCAGCCTCTAGCTGAAACGCAACTGGGAACCTAACAAGTCTCTCTGTGTTGATATTTGGGATTGGACTCACCAAAAACAGAAACTAAACGAAAAAGAGATACTATTTTAAGTACTGGTTTAGGCATTGAATTCACTTTTATATGTTCATGCTGTTCTGTAGGTACTCCTTGACTGTAATTTTAAAACAAGTCGCCGTTCCTGTCGGCGGCAGCGGCGTAAGCGACAAGAATTTTGGCTAATTGTAGTTGTCCTTCCCTGTACACAACACTTCGCCAAAGATGAAGGACAATAGATCTCCGCAGGAAGCCCGCAGCTTCCTTCGGGGTTTCTTTCCAGCAGCTGGACACACAGCCACCGACATTCGTTGCTACGTTCGTCCTTTGCCATTCTCCCGTTTCTTTTCAACTTCTTCATGAGATAGAACGTTGGAGGGAACTAGTAAGGTGCGCGGGGCTGGATGAGGACGGGGGCGGCGTGGAATTAGCGAACGCTGATAGGAACACACGAGGAGAATAACACGCGACCTTGGGAGGAAAGGTCGCTGCCCAAAATAGCATCCCCCAATTCTAATCCTACCCCTCTGTGTTGTACGTAGTTCCCGGCTCCCGGCGCTCGGCATCGGCGATTCAACTCAGCGTACGGCTTCCACTCCTTTCCGAGAGACTGCACAGTGCCGACGGTGGACCGGGTGGGGATCTGACCCTATCAATCCATCCTCCTTTCCTCCCTTGGCAGTCTTCCAGACAACTCGTTCGCATTCGTTGCCGTGACGTTCCATTCGCCCAACTAGTGGCTAGCTCTGCGGCCACGTTGAGCCGACTGAACCAGTGGCGAAGTCAAACTGTACCCTGCCACCATTACCAGTGCACACAAAAGGGCAAAGGAAAAAGCTTTAATATAGCAGAGGCCAAATCCTATACGTCACTGCTACTGGTTGAGAGGAACACCCAGCGACATCGCCACCCGTCTGGGCAGACTTCTGCCAGCAGGCTTTGTAAGCTTAGCGGCTAGCTTATAGGAATGAGCTGGCATATCACCGTAGTCTCACCGTACTCAACCATACTACCGATGTATGATGCTTGGATCCCTGCTGCGCTGGCCATGGAAGACCTAGCTGCCGTGACTTCTAGCATCTTTTTGCATGTATCTAGACAGGCTATAGTTAGACGTGACTAGTTAAACTAAATCACGAACCTGACAAGGTTAGGAACAAAAAACATTGTAGAAAGAAAATATGATGCTATTTAGGAAGAAAGCTGTCACAGGCTTGCTGCACTGCGGTGTACCCCGCAGCACCTATGGTACGTAGCCTTCAAAAGTAGACGACACCGCAGCGAACCCCGGAAGACGAAAAAGGGTGTACTGTTGCAACCTGTATGTCCTGTATAAGTTTGCAGAAGATGAGCGTTGTACTTACAGGATAAGGAAAATGTATCTGAGACAAACATAGTTAGTTTTTTGACAAAAACCTCTCCTGCTTTCTTTCTTGCAACAACGTCAGCAACGCGCAATGGCAGGCTGAACAGGAACAATCCAAGACCGAACTCTAGCTATGTTCGACTACATCATTAGTCTGAGTTAATGCGCAGAACAGAGTTATTGACAAGGAGATATAGGCTAGGAGATATGCAGCCGTATACTTGTGTACAAGGTCGTTAATATGTATGCTTAGGGGAAATAAAACAAAAAAGGAACATTCAAATCGTTTAATTATCGTTAAAAACAGGCATGTATCATTGCTTTTAACGGATTTCCATGCTAGATAAATGAAACTTGGTGGTATATGTCTCTATACAGTATGGTGAAAATGATGTCTACGAGCGTTGATATTTCAGGTAATTACTTACAGGGTTAGACAGCTTAAAAACTTAGGGGTCACATGTAAGGTCGAAATATGCTTAAACAATATTATGTAATGTAAACCTCTAAACATTAGTGTCTAACAGCAGATTTGATACCGTTCGGTAGTCATTTATTGATCTACTCCGGCCAGGTATGCTTTTCTTGGACCAGTCGCATGGGATTTCGTCATGTGGGCATCTGCGCGAACCGTTATATGTGAATGTATCTATGAAAGAACTTCTTAGTCCTGCGTACTAATGGATATGGTCGAACGCCGATCAAATCTTTATCTAGATAAAAGTTCGTTGTATGCGATTACCTCAGAAAACTGTGCCATGATATGTGGGGAGAACAATAGAAGTAATCAATATTTATTCATTCGTTGCATTTTCGACTCTGCTGCCAACATTCTTTTACTAACTCTACCTCAATAACCTAAAATGAAGCCATCTAGTTTGTATAACATAATTGCCGTTTTCGGCGAATATTTAGCCTATAGGAAAAATAAACACTTTTCAACGTCCGTATGAACCCGTTAGCAAAATTGAAATGTCCATTCTGATACAACTTTTATTTCGTTGACTGGCAAAAGCTTTTCTGAATTAAAAGTATCTTAAGTTCACTAACGAAAAGCGTCCGTTAAGGTTCTTTCTAAACCTTAAGTAGAAGTTCGACTTTTGCGATGGTCGACCTTGTGGGATTGGGAATGCAGGAAGCAGTCTTTTTCTATTTCGAATGAAATTACTTAAGAGATCGTCTGTTTCAAGATGGCCAAACTTACAAGAAAGATTGAGTCATATACATAACATAAGGTATACGTTAAGAAATGCGGCATACTAGCTACAATCAGCTGCAGATTTACACAGTTTTTTTACATAGCCAAACCTTTTTTTCTAGTTTTAGACCTGAATCGTTTTTTGAAAAAAAAATGGCAGAGCTATCATTTTTATCTGCACATATCGGTTGCTAATATCCTCGCGAACTTTCACTGTAAAATCCGTAAACAGGAAATTATATGATAAAATATACACCGCTGATAAAAGAATAAAAATGTTGGAACCTACAAGTTATAGCTCTGCGATTTCTTTTTTCAAAAAAAAACAAAAAAACGATTCAGGTCAAAAGTTAAGAAATGTATAAGAGTCATAAAAAGACGCTTACAGTATCATTTAGGTCTACGAAATCATAAGCAACTCAATTATTCTCTACTAATCTAGCCCAGCCCACATCGTTAAAACTTCATAGTCTTTACCATTGAACCTAATTCTATTGTTAAAAGTTTATTATACGACGAAAGACTATGACTCGATCCTAAGGTAGCGTTACAACACAGTTTATATATTGTACTTCGATCTAATGAAATCTTGTAAAGGAGCCGTCTGAGATTGAGTGATTATGCCATCTAAATCAACATTGACCGTCTATAACAATAGGCACTCATTTACTTCGATAGAGCATTCGCAGGAAACATGAGGACATCACTTTTGAGAAATTTCCTTCCCGACAATTTGCTTTGCTTCTGCGTTTATGTGGCTGGCCTATCGCTGTCACCGTGACCTGACTATCACCAAACATAAAAACCACTTAGCTAGACAGTTGACTGGCTGGCTGGCTGGGCAAAGCGTAATAATATTGATGGGAAACATTGCCCTATGGACGCACACTCAAAGTGCAATGAATTATACAACCTCCTAGAGCTTCATTGACTAGCTTCGTTCTATTTTAACATTAATTCTAGTCTTTTTTTCAACTTACAAACAGCATTTTATATAGCTATAAGGCTGATCTGAAATTACTAAATAACAACATGTTATGAAACATCGACTCGCAGCCATTATACTAAGGGTAGCAAACTTCGTGTTAGAGTACTGGCTGACAACAAACTTCGTTCTAAAAGGACTTTGCGAAATCATGCTTTAGAATTTCTAGTTTATGTAGATGTAGGGTTTAGCTGAGCTCGACTCTTAACCAGCGATAGCACCAATACCGATTGCAGCCTCTGTTATGATGAACTCAAAAGAGCTTAATAGACGACTATGTCTAGTAACGCTGTTTGTACACAAATGATATTACGTTGTTATGTTTCAAAGCTGGTATATTTATGCCCGAAGCCCAAACGCCAACACTAGCCGCCCAGCAACAACGCTAACGAAAGACACGTTCGCTAATTTGATGTTACTGTATCTCTCTATGGCACGTTTTAGTACGCTTCATTTCTCTTGTGTGTAGCTTTTATAGAAAGCTACTTTAATAACTGATGACAAACTTAGCATAAACCTTCGCCTAGGCACGGGGTTTTCATGCGGCCTATTCGAGCTCTCCGCTATACTTTATGTTCGAACGACAAACGTCTGCAGTTCCAGAAAAACAGCTATATTCCAACACCAAAATAATGCAGAGCTACGTGAGGCAAGCCACTACCGGCCGTTACACTAAGCTGTTAACATTGTGCGTTTCCGGTCCTTTTGAAGATACCAGCTTCCTTTTTAGCACAGGCTTAGAAACATCGAGAAAAAGCTTATTGAGCGGCCTAAAGTTGTGTGTTAATAAATCGAGCATCTGTCCTTCCATACCCATACATTTAGGGTAATTACGTTATTAACCACGTTATTTACCTAGACGAACATGGGCGAAGGCAAATAAATGGACCGACTGCGTATCCCGAGTAGCCTAAAGATTGTGTGCTCACATTTGCTTATCTACCCCTTGCAAAGTCTCAACTTGAAGGTCTCCTGTAATGATGCGTAGACCGATTCCGTAGTCCAGCCGGGAAAAAGACATATGTATCCAGACTATTAATGACACGTAATTTGTTTATGGTTTCGAAATATTTTTTTTATTAATAATATTGTAATAAAAACTTAAAAATATACCAAAAGTATGCTGCATTTGCTTTGCTTCTTTTCGATTCATCATTTTCTATACAGTTCAAGTAACAGTTATTTCATATTAATGTTATTAGTATCATGTATGTTGTATGTTGTGTTGTGTATTTCTTCTTTCTTTCGTTCCGCTTCCTCGGAAGCTGGTCCTTTCTTGGCCTGATGTTTTCTCTTTCCGCGTTTGTTGCTGCCATCGCAGCCTTTCGTCTTATCCACAACGAAAATAAATCTCTCGGCCGTAGCTTTTGCGCGGGGCCTTCGTAGTTGTTTTATGGTTGCTGCTACGTAGCTGCTCTTCGATTCGTGGTGGCTGGCTTACGGGCAGCTCTGCAATGCGCATTTCAATCGGGCCCATTGTTACGGAGGCCCCCAGGAAGGCGAACCACCCGCCCATAGCTCGGAGAGCTCCTTCGTTTTGTCTCTTTTTCTCTCGCTAATTTTGCCCACTTCTGTCTGTCTGTATTGTATTGTGTTGACTCAGACTAAAAACGAATCGATTAATGACCAATCGTCTGTAGGCGTTAATAGTAGCTCTTTCGAATAGTAGCACTGCTGTTGTTATAACTATGAATATAACTGACAAGTTTAGGCAGATTACTTATACTATCAATCTTCGTGTTGTCGTCGTGCTGAACTAATGAATTAGCACTATGATACAACGATATCCCTAGACTCGTTGTAAGTCCTGTTCTCGACACGGGAATTAATAACGTCCTCGACCTTAGTACTGGACGTATTAACAGTTACAACATTAACTTTTAGTTCGTAGTAGAATCGGTTCACCTACGCATAAATGTGATTGGGTGTCTGTGAACGTAGTTTGTCTTTGCGTGCGTTTGTGTGTGTGTGTGTGTGTGTGTGTGTGTGCGTGCGTGTGCGATCATTGCTCAATGGGGGCTTTTTGCTGACTCCTTTCACCCGGCAGGTGAGCAGAGGGAACAAATAGGAGCGACCGTAATAACATAGACGGTACAATGGCAACTTTGTCATATCTACAACTGTTCCTGTCATCGTGCCATTAATATGACAGCGCTGCTGCTGATTTGTAACGACGTAGCGACTCGAGCAGTCGGATGGTAAGGCTGCTAATCAAAAGGGCTGTTGCGGTTATCCTGCTTCTGCAGTTAGGCTTTTTGGGGTCATAACGTAAGGCACAGCCTACAAAACAGTTCGTGTTTGAAACACGATGGGTGTTATAGCTGTCGGGTAGTGATACTCACGCTGCCGTCATGCGTAAGTCACGTACTTAGATGTTGTTACGAGCCACAAACATATTTTGGAAGGATGGCAATAAATGGAGGATAGCAGCTGTGATTAGAAAGCTGGTTCGTTGGTGGTGACTGATCGTTACGTTATCTATCCATCAAACTCAATTCCATGCGCTGCATCGTTGAGGTCAGCGTATGGTCAGTTTTTCTTGTCTGAATCTAGAAATCCTACTGATCAATATCTAATTAATTTAATTAAGACTCTTATTTTTTAGAACTAGTAATTAGAATTCCACTGTAACAGCGCAATATCGCCGCAACATTGTTGGATTGCTCCTTCATACACTTCTTGCTCCATCTGACATTATACTTACTCAGTTATGCTATTACCCGAGACAACAAGTTGTTTCCTTACAAGGATTACTTGACCATATCTTCAGATTTGCATTGAAGATCATCATTTTGGTTTAATCAGCTGTCTTTAATAAAACTGATGCCAATTTTTGCTTCTGCTGTTGTGTGCGTTTTTGGTTGACTCATCAACTGGTTGATATAATTTTTATGGTGTTTCTTTACTTTATAATTGTGGATGACAGCTGAAAAAAAGGACATGAAGAATAGAATAGGTGCGAACAGCGACAACATGTAGATTGTTTTCTTGCCGTCTTTTATTGGGGCATGGATGTGGCTCACGTTTCCGCCATCTCAGCGAATACAGTTAAGGAGCACGGAAAGCGAACCAAAGTGGGACGGGAGAAATACGAGGGGAAGTGCTTCGTGCAATTTTTTTAGACGACTCACCGTCTCCTCGTTCTATCGATTGGCTATGTAACTTTGCTTTCCTCCAACTTGCTATTTCCGTTCGTACTAACGATTTTGCACATTAAAGTGATCGTGGCAAAAAAAAAACAGCGACCTGGAGCCATATTTTGACCAGATCATTTCTATTAACAGATAACTTACCTATTTCACCTCTTTGTTGTCCCACCCAAATTAGTGCGGATTGCTTTCCCCGTCATCCACAAAGACTGCCAGAAGTCAAACAAAATTTGTGCACCTGGGTTATGAAGATGCGTATCAACAGGGCAAAGCTAGTTGTTAATTCTGCATGTCTCATTTTTGTATGTGGTCGATGTAGGATGGTGGCTATGCGCAACATCTTTGTCAATACATGCCGGCTGTCTGCCGAAATCCGGGGGTAGGATCGCCTTATTTCCGTTTTCATATTATAATACTCTGAAGAAATTAGTTTCCTTTGAAGCTTATTTTTGCTTTACGCTGTACTAGCACTCGCTATCGAAATTATCGGACTCATCTAATTACAGCCTTGACGCCTTCATGATAGGACCAAACACATAATTATTATACCTTCCCGCGTTGCATGACCACAAGCTCGGTCTTGCTATTGCAGCTGGTTATTCGGGTTGAAATTATGTCCCAGTGTCCTCTGTATACACACTCTTTCTATACAGTAGTAGACAGTGATTAAATAATTATTTGTTTAGCGCTGTCGGAATCTAGTTTTTTTCCTCACTTCCCCGTCTTTTTGACTAACACTTACCCTGAACTGTGACATATATTATCTGCTATTGTCAGTTTATTAACAGAGCGTGCCGAAACGTTCGAGATCGTATCGTCAGTACTACTAGATTTCGACACTCGATTTCTTGGCGCAATGTTTTGTTTTCTGGGTTTCCTTTCAGTTCACAGTGTGCAGTTCTTTTCTCGGGCACTCATTGGTGGCAAACGACCTGAACACAAGATGCGCCACGGCTCTTTAGAGACACTGAGGGTTATCGTGACGTCCTTTTTACCGTTACCGTTCTTGTTCTTAAATGTGACTAGTATAGTTGTCGCTGTGACTGATCTATGACGTCTACTTCTACTAGTTTTATAAAAAAAAATAGAAAACTAAATTAACAACGTAACGATAACTACAGAGCGTCTGTCTACTGTGTGCACGTGTTTGTACGTCTCCGATAGGACGAGTATTGTTATGAGTAAATATAGTTGTTACTATTTAACTTTATTAGTGATGCCGTTTATGGTACATTCTCCGGATCTTTTAATTAGTTTAGTTGCTGCATAAAAACTCAACGGCACCTTATTTTTAGCTCAAATACGGCCCGGACGTGCTACGGAACCTATCGTGACATCTGATGAGAGACATTCAAGGACTCTCGCAGAGCTCCCGTACACCTTTCGGCGGGCCTGTTGAGGAGTTAGCTGGATGACTCTGAGGCATCGGAAAGGTTCGTGAAAAACCCCTCGATAGAAACAACGTAGAACGTACGACCTCGCCTTTTCTTCAGCCTGCGATCCGTTCTCATCATTGTGTTCGCCCCATATTTGCCATACACTTGGCTTCTACGTATGATCAACAAAACGGTGTGAAATGAGTACAAACAAACAGGATCGTATATATATATATATATATATATATAGTTTGTATGTAGCATGGCAATTGAGGTAATCCATAAAATGCACAGCAATGTTTTCTTTATTTTTCCACTTCAGCTGCATCTGTCATTGTTATACTTCCGTAAACGGCTGAGACTAAATGTTATTATTGTTATCTGTTAAGCATTACTTTTAGTAACAGCTTTTAATAGAAATGCCAACCTTTGGGCATTAAGTCGAGGTCGTGTGTTGTCGTTGCTCAATTGGGCATGCCATTGGTTTTCTCGTCTCCTTCTCTGTATGTCCTGTACTTGTTACAATCGGCTCCAATAGCGTGGCTACCTCTTTTGAGAGGGGCGTGCAATTTTGCCAGCGCACACATACACACACACACCTCTATCCTCCCTATTTTTCTCTTCACGTTCTCGTGTCGAAGCAAACTCATTGCGATCGCTAGAGTCCACTGGATAACCCGCAACAACCTTGAACAGACCCACTTGCAATAACCTTGGATAGGACCTTGCGGAAGTTATGAACGCCTAGCCATGTATCGAGGAACTAATCGGGGTTCAGGGTTTCAGAGGTGACGGAGGTTGAGTTGTGGCCAGTTTACCGTCGATGGTGGGAAGAACCAGTTAAGGGCTAGAGCTCTGCAAAGTTGCATTAAGATCAGGATAGGTGTGGGAGTTAACAATCATCGTTACTAATGCAACTATATTATTATTATGGTCGACTAACAATAGCCACTAGTAATAATAGAAGAACAACGATCGATGGGGGAAAGTAGAAGAGGGATAGTTAACATAGTTACCTTTTATTTCCTTCTTTTAGGCAATAACAAGGGTTCTCGTTTGGGATTCATAATAGTAGAATATTAGTCGTAGCTATATTTTTTTAAAACAATGAATAACAAAACTCTTCAGAGGTAAGGCTGGACGAATAACAGGGTATTATGCAAGTGACTAACAGGAGAAGATTCGGTTCTTCTGTACGCGTGTTTGTGTATGAACCTGCATACTAGGTTCATTTGAAGGGTTTGTAGAAGGATTGAGCGGGTGCAAGCCGACCGGATTGTGTTACATTAACGTTTTTAGTAATAGTTTCAGTCGAAGTAGCATGAATAGTTATTAATTATAATAATAATAAGCAATATATAGTAGGCTTTGCTGGGAAGAATTAACCATGGGTTGCGGATTTTACCTCCGAACACGGCGATGCCGTTTCCTTTGACTACGTATGTATTAAAGAGGGGCTTTGTATCCCATCACGATAGCGGTATCTCCCAGTAGATATTGATTGGAATCCGCCGTTGTGCAAATAAATGAAGACAGACGGCCGCATAGAGGAGGTGTCGACCCGCGATCGCGCACGAAACATTTTCTCTCTTTAAAGTAGTAAAATATAATTTGCTACATATTAGTCAACATTGGGCCAGTTGTCTACGAAATCACCGAGTTTGAGTTGTATTTGTTGTGTGATAATTAGCTCGTTTACTGTATCTTCTTCATCATAATGTCTTCACTTCATCATAATATTAACAGTCGCTTATGATGGTCGAGCTGATTCTAATAATGGTATAACAATTAAGTGTTTATTTTCTATAGTAATATAAGACAGTATTGTGTTTATATGAAAGGAAATTTCATTCTCTCGTCTCGGTGCTAATTGAATAATAATTGGAGTAGTAGTGATTATATCGTGTGCTTCGTTGATGTGGTTTAGATACTTCGGACAGTTTGGCACGGGACTTTTCCATTATTGTGAAACAGTCTGTGCGCCATACGGCACACACATACATGGCCACCATTACGTGTGGATCTTCCCAACCGAGAAATAGATTTTTAATTGTGATTGAAAAAATGAACCTTTTTCACGTTATGCCGATTTTATCTGTTATGGTACGGGTACTTCTGTCGCCTGTGAGAAACTTCCCTTTGAAAATCAGATGCAGAACCTAATCGCTATAGATGCTTGGGAGATATTGCGCGTCTAATCGTTCTATAATCCGCCATACACGTGCCCGCCAACTTTTCAACATGCGTTAGGAATCAGCGGTAGATTTAAAAACGAAGACGTTGTGCTAGATGATTATGCAATCGAAGTTTCTTTTGTAGTTAAAGGAGAAAGGTGTTAGTGCCCCTAAGTTCTCAACAAAAATTACGAACGTTTGTTTTTATGCTAAAGCTTAAGATTAATTACTGAATGACTATAAATCTGATTTGTAACATACTGGTGTTGCTACTTTTATGATAAAGTTGTTGTCACTTTCTCACCTTTTGCGTGATTTGGTTGCTTGCAACGCCGATCATTATTTCAATTATAGGCCACGTGAATCACTGTTGTCCTGAGTTTGACGGTAATAACTGCGTGCGTAGTCGTAAGAATAGGGATCCAATAATAACAATATAATCATAGTAAAAATAACAATAGTAAAAATAATCTGCACCACTTCCACTTGTTCTCCTTTTTGCTTTTCTTCGGCCTCTGATTAATATTATTATTATCAGCATTCATATAGTCGTCATATTTGTCCTGCTTTTCTCTCATAGGAAATAGAACCGAAGAAATAGAAACGACATGGTCGCACTAGATTCATGAATGCCTGCCTATATGTCCGTATTTCCTGCAGTTCGTATGTAGAAGAGCCTTATTAGGGATCATACGAACTCCGGTCCACCACGGCCAAGTTTCCACCTTACTCGCATTTCCAATTGATGTCGTCTTCACCATTAATTGTCTCTATTGCAATCAAAACTCAACATCGATCCATATGCTACTAGGTTACGTTCACCAGACGTTTCTCGCCAAACTATTGCGCTACTAGTATCCTCAAGCAAAATGAACATTTCCCGTGCCTTTCCTCCTATCTCCTGTATGGACTTTCTTCGGAGTATACAACTCGATCACTTCTTGCTTGACTTCATAGGTACGGGACACAGACAATTCTGGCTCTATCCACCGCGGCTGTCGTCAAGCTCCCCGCACCTTAGGACTTTCACAGCATTGCCTTTGTCGTCGGAATCGGTCACGAATATGCCCTTCGACTGTTAACACAGATGTTCGCCACCTTTTACTTGAAACGAAGCACGGCTACAACATCAGTTATCTTCATCATATGGCTGCTTCTTCGCTCGTCACGTGCATCAACATTGCGTGGTCTGACCTTTTTACTTTAGCCCTTTCGTCTCTCCCATGGCCGTCTCATTCATGCCGTGGGTTCGAACTCTTGTCTTCTGTCTATTATTGTCCATATTCTTTCCTTCTTGCGTAAGCGTCTTCTCCTGAATTACTCTATTTCAACAACAACATCCTCGAGAGTTATCTCCATCAGTCAACGTTATCGTAATAATCGTCTCCATTATCTCATCTTTATATAAAAGTACAAAAAAATCGACTCCTTTGGGCAAATATGGCCCCCTCGATCGGGGACTTTGTCCTGAGTCGGTGAATGAATCCAGAATTTGACTGCTGTGAGTGCGACTTTTGTTGTCGTCTGCTAGACGCAATCAACTTTATTTATCTGCTGTTTATTCCTTTTCGTCTTTGAGATCTCGGTCTATAAGTTTATGTACGTGTTATGCTGCCCCGATTTTTCGCGTGCTTGTTACTGCTCTCGACATTAAAAGCATCCGGACATTTCTCGCCTTTGTCTTTTGTCCAATTGCGTAACTATAACAGCCGCCTCATTAGTGTCGTCGTGACTTCTATTGACGCCAGTAGTTCCCTTATATTTTGTTATTGTTCAGTTTGCTGCCACGTTTTGGTCTGTCGTCTCTTCTGTTTGTTTAAAGCAGCAAATCATTAGCTGTTGCCGCTGCTTCTGACGTTCGTCCTTTCTGTTTATTAAACTAAATGCTATATAGTAACGAACGTTCGTACCCATAGGGAAAATCAAAGAATCACGACGGTCGGACCAAAGACTTTTCCCTCGGTTTACTTTCTGGGGTACACCACTCGTATGTTATTCACATCGCCTTCGTCCCTTATCAGCATTTATTAATTGCGCCTAGGCAAAAACGGTGATCTTTCTGGTAGCGTGTGAGCTGCGTGTTTCTTCTTGGATAGCAACAATCTGGCGTCAACGGAATTGTCCCTTCCTCTCTGTAAACCGAATTTGGCTCCTGCTATGCTTCGATTGTGGGAACCGTTGCTTACAGATGTTTATCTACGTGGTAAACGACGAGTGAAAAATGATAGGCAGCTCGGACGGTGGTGGGAAACAAAGATAAATGTTGGGGTGAAATTAATAGGGGGGGGGGGGGGGTCGATGTTGTTGACGGTAGACGTAAAACGCTCTGCTTATCTTCCTGTGATAGCTAAAGTTAAAGGATGTGACCTTTTCGACATATGGCTGGGGCTGGAATTGACTTTGTGGCTGGGTGGGACTGATAATATACGCTCATGTCCTCTGGAGTGTCAATGAAAAATGCTATTTCAGTTTGATGCGACAAGGAGTTGATGAGTGGATGCGGATGAGTATCCGGGGATTGTAAATTCGGCATAGTCCCCATTAGAAGACGGCGGACTGGGCGAAGTCGAAACGTTACCAGCGGACGTCGACAGCCCGATCGAGCCACCTGAAAGGAAAAAAATGTCAGAAGAGGGGTAATTCATCAATGCGTGCTTATCGATAGTGCTTCAATTGATGTTCTAATTATACCTTTGGATGGCTATCAAAATTGCCGGAGCGTTCGCTAATATAAAGCTTAAAGACTTATGAAAGCTGCCATAAATAAACTTACAAAAAAAACGTTGCAAAGCAGACAGTAATAATTGTATTATGCAATCTGGCACCGGTAACTTACCAAGCGGGGTGGGTACAGTGACGGTGAGGTGGTTAGGCGAAGCAGCCAAATGGGCCGTCGAGTTGTGATGGGCCGCGGTTTGCATAGAATAGGCTCGACCGCGATTGGGTGAGCGAGCGAAGTCAATTGTCGTGGCTCCATGGAATGGAGGCCCACCATGATAGAGCGAACCGGCTCCCAGTGGGAATGGGCTTGCCAGCGGGTGATCGAGATGCTGGCCTGAATGGCCGTTAACGCCCCCCGCATGACTGCCCAGATGGGTGCCATATGGGTGTGGACTGAGAGAACGCGGCCTGTCGAACATTGGCGAGACGTTGCCCCCGAGGGTGCCGGCAACCGATAACTGCTGTTGAGCCACCTGTAACAAACGAGCCCGGTAATGTCATATATTTATGACGACTATTGGCAACTGGTTGGTTTACAGCCATCCATAAAGAATAATGGAGCTTAATTAGTCGGAATGTGACGCAGAGCGCTAAACAGAAAGTGAGACAATTGCTCACTAGAGCTTAATAGCTATCAAAATAATTATTTTATTGAGGCCTGATACCCGTATTTTCTTGTGTTCTATTTTTGTTTTTTTTTTTCCCAAAATAGAGTAACAGCAAATGGAGCTGAAAAGTTTTGACTACAACCTTATTCACTCGAATAATTGAACAGCTATGTTTTAGGGGGAGGGCGATACTGCGACACGTCTCTTTATCGTGATTTGACTGATAAACGAATATCCAGCCACCCGCAGACCTACAATAGGGCCGATGCCAGTATATACATGCGCAATAGCAACACTGGCTGCGGTGGGCCATGCAAGTGGGGTCCATAGTGAAAGGACGTCAACGACTAAGTCAAGATGAAAGAAAACGCCACGAAAAGTTACTAGCACTAGGGAAAGAGGACACAGTTAAGGAAGTAGGGTACAAGCTTTCTGGGACTAATGTACCATCAGGTGCTCCATAGGCTCTCAGCATGAACACTACAAAGAACCGGCCTTGTTAGCTTAAAGGCATGAAACTCTGAGGTGAGTTGGCATACGGCTTATACTGTACACGACCAGCGCTTAATATGAATCAACGCGGATAGGCGACGAAATAACACGGTGCTCAGAACTGACGTGAACCCTAAGCATTGCATAAAGTAAGTGCTTGAAGGTTTTAGACCATCGTTATTTTTACTAGGGCATATATTTAGCGAAACTTTTATTGTATAAAGGTAAACATGGTTACATTACAGCAGTAAACAGAAGATCAGGCCTGCAACACGACAGCCGCAGGAACAAGCTATCTGTGTATTATGGCCCCGTAGGTACAGCATAGTAAATTCGAAATTAGGTAGTACCCCATTTAACTATTTAATTAGACAATTCATCGCAGCGCATAATATTAGCTTTGGCAAAATGTCGTCTCCACTTCTACACTGAAAAATATACGAGGAACAAACTACTGCTGCTACGTTATTTCATTTGATGGGAATGCTAACGTAAAATAGGTAGCAAAGCACCAGCCAAAGTAGCAGGATTTACGTAAGATTCATTCATATCCTTCATCATCAGGGCTTCAACATCACCTCCATGAGTATCCCTAAATACCTAGCGGAGTTGGCAAATCAAAATAAAACTGTAGCCCTAGGTCATTTCTACTGTCGTTGTCTCGCCGAAGTCCAAGCTCCACTAGCGATTTGCGCAATGATGAAATTTACATTGTCAATGAATAGCAGTTGAAAACAGATTCGGTAATTTTTTCGGCGAAACAAAAAACAAGATAACGCCCTTACAAACCTGTTGTGCCATGGCACGCTGTTTAATATAGTTAGAAAATTCTGTGGGGGACATCCGTTGACCGTTGTTACGCTTCGAATTGCTCTTGAGCTTGGTAGAACCAAATTTTGTAGCAGCGAAACTAGCCGTTGTGAACGTGAGGGGTTGCGTCGGCTTGTTAAGAAACATTGGCGGTGTAGGTGAAATGCTCTTGTATGACGATGGGGGTGATGAGCCAGAGCTGAACGGAGAGCTGCTGCAACGTTCACAGCCTGCACATGGGGACACGGCAGATGAAGGGCGTACATTAGTTAATTTGCTACTCATGTAGTTGAAGTCATTTTACAGCATTAAGAACGACTTCTCTAATGGAAAGGATACTTAAACACTTTTTTTAATCCAAAGTAAACCACAATAATGACGAACTTTACTAAATACGATTAGTCATTACTTCACGCGTCATCGAGCAGGAATTTTTTAGCATGGGTATACTTACTGGGGTTGGGAGCCGATGTACAGTTGGGGCATTCCTCCACAGCAATTCCAGCGATCTGCTGGCTCAGACTGTCCACTGGTTTAAAGCACTGGGCCTCAGGGTTGAAAGTTTTTGTTACTTCGCGATCTGTGCGTTCTTCCACAGTGTCGGACTCTGAATAAAGAACCTTGACTGGGCCTTTTTCACTCATCTGGTAGGATACCTGCGCCAAACAGATGGAAAATATATAATCGTGTGACAAAACAGATGTATGCAGTTTGCATCTTTTCATCTTTTGCGTATAAATAATCCATACTGAATATCTCAAACAAATTTCCACAATGGCATGATCGTACTTGAGACAGTGAACATCTGGTGCAATGTTGATCTTTAAAACGGCAGTTGCTGCCTTTCAATGTGATTGTTTGATTTTAGACAGACGGCTTAGATGAAAACATTAAGCTGATGATCTCGTTACCTCTCCGGGATCGATCCAGATGGAGAGCTCTCGTGGCAGGTTTTCTTCAATATCTCGCAAGTCAACTCCGGATTCCCTGGCGGCAATACCAAATACCGCCTCCAGCGGCGGTGTTGTTCTTACACAGCGATAAGCTGAGCCCTTGTACGGAGCTTCCGGGTACCAGTGGCCCTGAGTTGAGTAAAAAGCACATGAAAAACGGCAGAAGCATAAGTCAGTTACGTTCTGTCCAAAAGAAAACTTTGCTCACTCAAAAACAAAAGCTCACTTATATAACTTTTGTAAGTTTAATTAAGCACAAATGTTTCGCAAAACAACAAGCCGTTGTAGTAGCGAGCTGTTTTAAAATAAGAGCTTTCAAATGAAAATAAAAAAGTTTGCCAGGCACGTTGGCATGAATAAACATTACTAAATCATCCCTGACGTGATAAAAATTACGGTAACATATAAATAAATCAAAACAGTAATATATTAAAAGGGAGTAAGGCTATTAGGTCTCGAATAAACTATATGGACCGGCTGCAGCTTTTTCTATGTATATTTACTATGCTAATGATCCATGATGTTTCAAATTAAATACGTTGGGTGAAAAATCGAACGTTTTGAATAAAAAATTAGAGAGCAGGCCAACTGGCCTGCTTTCGTCACTCCAAAAGTAACTGTATTTAAATACGTCAATTCCGCTAAGTGCTTCATACGATTGAATTGAGCGATGAAACGGATCGGCTCTCGGCGATCGGAAGGGGATGATCTCAAACAACGAATCAACGAGGTATGCAACAGAGTTTTTGATCACTACTAATAAGAACGACTCTCTAACTTTGTTCGGCCTCGCCTCCCATCCTCCGTTTACTCGAGCTACATTTTCTAGCTAATACATAGTGAAACCTATGCATCAGCGGTTTTCTGTGTGTAAGCGTCTCCTTTCAAATGTACACGAGCACTGTGTACCGTTTGTGCGTTTAAACAACCTTCCATACAGTTGAGTCTTGTGATTTCATGATTTTTCTTCTAAAACACATGGATTGTACACCTCCGAAGCTGCGCTCTTTCCTTCTCCGGACCACATACGATTTACCTATAACTACTTCGGTTATTAAAAGATTGTTGCACGTTCGTTTTTACTCTTTACGAAATTGATTTTTCGTTATTTGTATCCCGTTTATAATCGGCATCAGTCGCACCAAGCTTCTCTCACTGCTACATTCGTTATATAAACGTCACACACAAGACGACACACATGTTCAACCAACGGCAAGGCTATGCTTGCAAACCTCAGTGTTACAGAGCCCCTTACAACACTGTAAAGCTCTCTGCTTACGTACAAGGGCATTTTGTTGCGGAGTGAAGCAGTACTATTAAAGGAGTCAACTACACAAACCAACCAACTACCAAACGACGAATCACTGAACAACTTAGTACACTTAAATCAACATGCGAAGAGGTCTCCAGTAAAATCTCGCATTCTCAGGCCCCCCTCTGAGGTAAGTCCTTCCAAGGTTCTTTTTTTCTATCGCTGCCGCTATCACTCCTCTCATCTATTACGTTTATCCTGGCCTTCTGTTCCTGGTCTGTGACGTGACGTAAGTTCTGTCTCGTTTTTGTCTTTCAGTATCCATGTTCATACATTTGCAAGCAGAACGTAGATAAGATACTTAAGCGTCTGCAGAGAACCTATGCGTTTGTCGCTTGCAAAGGTCAGCAAAATTCGCTTTTCGAAACTCGGTTGCCACTCTACTGGTTGGTGGACCGCCCGGCCCTGCTGTGCTATTGCTTATGTGCTTTTTGTCTTACGTCCTTCCTCGTTTCGCGCGTTTGCGGTACTGTGCTCTTCCAGTGAAGTGCAAGGCAGGACACTTGCTAGGGACGAGGACGACGACGATGGGTAAGAGCGATAGCAGGGGCGGCCTACCCTTGTCACTATTGTACGTAGCTATACACCTTTTCACGTTGACCAGAAGCTTGGTGCAGGCCGCATCCGCTAGCAACCAATCGATAAACCGGCAAAAAGAGAAGCATAGGGGTCGTCTTTGCGCTCTTTCCAATTTAGCTCTTCTATCGGCGCTAGCACTGCTGCCGAGGTAACAACAACAAGTTAGCTGCGACAGCCAAGCTGAAGTCCAATAAGATAAGAGAAATGATAAGAGGTTATTAAACGCAGCTTTCGGACAGCGGGCGTTAGCGACTTCAGTGAACTTCGCTGCGATGATGGAACCTGATCAACGCTTGTCGTCGACGTTCAGCCACCCGCAATTGTCGAGCTATTTCTACTGAGATGCAATAAACAGTGCGCTGTCATTTGAACACAAAGCAGGGGCAACGACTCAGCAACTGTACCCTGTACAGCTTAGCTAATCGGTCCATTCTATGAACCAACATGACTAATATATAGAATTTTAGCACAATGGCCAGTAACAACGGAAGGTCTAAAGGAGGCAGAGAATGCAAAAGGACATGAAGCTCTGCCGTATGTCATCAAACCTGTCGGCCATTAAAAGCAAAATGGAATCGGCGCCAGGAAATCATCATCGTTATTCGCACATCGCCAATAAATATTTATTGATAAATTTCGTAAAATGGAACAAAGCATAATATCAGTAGCAGATCCCTTACACTAGCGCATCCCTATACACCTGTGGAAGGGATATATGTGTTCGTAAAATGTTTTCATTTACATCAAAGACGAGGCTACTTACCTGGAACTTAAGCCGAAGTGCCTTTTCGAGCTCCTCACCAAAATGATTAACTCGCCGCCTAGGCAATTTATTATATAAGAATGATATGAGGAAGTTTAGTGCTACCTGGAGCTCCATCTGCATCGTGTTTTTTTCGCCACCTATTGTGATGAATCCACAATAATAGAAAAAAAAAAAAGTACTTTTGTTAAGTCATACCTGATGCCTGTCTTTGCTATTCAATCGAGATTTCAATGTTCTACTATTAAGGCCACCGTGACTATAGTTACTAATAATACTGCATAACACAACTCTTGTGATTATCCTTCTTATAAATAAATAGTGTCGTTTTGTGTGATCAATACAGATGTGCCAGCATGCGCGCATGTGGACTCCCAGAACTAAGGCCAATATACACAAATCACAATTAATTTATTTTTTATTAACTTATTTGTATTGTTTTTCCCTCGAGTTTTAGTTCATCCATTAATACTTCTAGCTAGCCTATCAGCATAATAGCTGCACTCTCAAATAAGGGATTCAAATCACTTTCTCCTTGTTCAACGCCTCTTCCCATTCTCCAAACGGTCTTGTGATGTTCCTAGTCTGTGGGTGGGTCTATGGGACTAGCTCTGTTTACTTGTTCCTTCGGACCATTATTAATGCGTTAATAGTCTTTGGCAGAAATACACACAGACGAACAGCGCTATCTTTGTACAGCGGCAGAGAAACAGATAGCTGTCTGCCATGAACTCTGTTCGCTTGACGCCGTTCCGTACTATTTCGGCAGTGGCGGTGGTAGAACAGACGCTTGGTCGGCACGATCTCACTGTTTGTCCAACCATCTCGACGATAAGAACTTTGTATCGTAAATGCGTTTAAGGAGCCTTGCTTGCCTACTATAATGAAAGCAAGAGGGACGCCTTCATCCGGCTCGCGCGATACGAGAGAATGTTCTGAAGGGACAACCTTAGTGCCTATTCCTGCTGAGAGGCATCACCGTGACAAAACAAGAAACAGAAAGAATTAAAAAACGACAATGAGGAAAATAACGGACGAACGATGACACAGGCGAAATCTATGCGCGGGGGTGACGGGTCCACATGAAACTAACAAAGGCTGTATGCGACAACGTACTCACAACTGCAACAATTCTGCCATTGCAGAAAGACGGCGGAACTGGCTGTTGTACAGATTGTACAGGCCGCGTGCTCACGTGGCGATCTTGTCCTGCATAAAAAGCGCTTTCGTTTGTGGCTCACCGGTAGCTGGACACTGACAGCGGTTGAATGACGTGGGCACGAAAGGTATCTGATGAAGACCGTCATGTCGCTTCTCTTTCGTCGTCATTGTTGTCACCGTCAAGCTGTATTTTATCGTTGTCACAGGAATTGAACTATATAAAGTTGCGTTCGCGTATAGGCGTAGGCTCCTACATAAATACATCTCAAAGCAAGTAGGACGACTAGTGGCTGTCTTATCGTTGAACGTCGTGTCTTGACGCCGCAGCCACCATGTCCCATTGCTACTGTTGTCCTTAACAGTATTTATCGGCTGTAATGTTACTGCTTATCGGCTTTTTCCTTCCCTCTGTCCTCCTGACTACTGCAGAAATAGAGAGAGAGCAGGAAGCGAACGAGGGAAACGAGGCCAGGGGTGGATATGGGCCAAGCATTCGTACAAACTTTATTGTAATCACACCAGTGATAGTAGCTATATAAGTAGCCTCACCAACGAAGCACTCATCGACAACCTTAATACATCCTACTGACGGTTTGTCACACGATATCCATGTTTTCTTTCCCGAGTAGCCCAAGCTGATGGTAGGAAGAACTCTGTGCCCGCCAGCCAGCCAACACACCAGCTTCCTAAAGAATAGGGCAGCAGATGACACAGAAATAGAAGTGTGAAATGCACTCGTCATACTAAACCATGCTACCCTAATCCAAGCTGTAAGATAGAAGCGATGGCGGAAGCAACCGCTGCAGAGGCTTGGGATCGCATCTATGTTATCTGTTCTCCCCTTTCATCACACAGTCGACGACCGACGATCCATGCTACTGCTTGTCTGCTCTTGGGGGTTGATGGTGATGGTATTGTGGGCGATGAATGTCATCGTCATCATCGAGAATGGAATGCGTCCATTTGTTCGTTTATGGCCTCCGTCAGATCCTCTCAGCTAAGTGTGAGACGACAGCTTCTAACCTCACTAACATGCTCCAATTCCCCTTGTACTTTGTCTCTGGTCGCACTTTGTCAAGGCTTAGCCCTTTGAATTAGTTTACGCTTAGCAAGTGGGGCACTGTCTTAATCTGAAGTATACTAGGGTGGAAAACGGTAGCTGGGCCGATATTTCTAATGTAATTCTACGTTTATTGATTGTGCACAGGTAGAATTTCGCGTAATATTTAGTTATAAATGTACAAAAAAGAATTATTTAATGGCATGACCGCCTACTCTGCAGTATCTTCTTTACCTATCCACATACTTTCGTTCGTTTGCTTGAGCGGCTTTTATGATACAACTCACTTGGAAACGTCATGAGATTAAGAGTTACTTCCGAATTCAGTACGCATCTCATTAGTCTTTTCCTCAATGATTCGTACTGTCTATCTACATTACTCGCGCATGATTGCGCCGTAAATCGGAGGGAAATACAATTCAAATGTTGCACCCGTATTGGTCAGGACCATCAAGGACATTATATATCAGGAACAGCAGAACAAGCCCGTCAAGGCTCATAGTGACAATTTACATAATAACCAATATCTTCAACCTGAGTTTTACCGTATAGCTGTCTGAGGGTTAACTCAGCGTACGTTTGTCGTTTACCGCCATCGAGCTCAAACATCATTTTGTTCAATTACGACGACGTTTACCTTATTAATTTGGTGGTGTTAATTAGAGACGCCTAAGATGCAAATTAGTCCTTAGCACAGTTAAATGGTCTTTAAGTTAAACGCAATGAAGTACGGTCAACTGTGACTTATGATACAGTTAGTCGTTGTTACGCAATTTCTGTATCGTTTTGTTTACTGCATAGGCGAGCATGTTTACTTTGATTACCGACTTGAAATACTCATCTGCTACATGCCTAGGTAAGACTCACCCATTGGATTGCGTTTAGGGATCCGGTACCTAGGAACAGGCGCAGCATATGCAGTCGTTCTGCCGAATGTCCAAGGTTGAAATTGTATCTTTTCCCTATAGGTAAACAGTATTCACTCTAGAGCCTTACATTCTTTGCATAGGTCCTTCGTGAGCCTAAGTCTACTTCATCAGTCTAAAATCTCAGCAACATAGGACTTCACACACTCAGCTTCACAATGTACGTTTATCAGGTACCTAATATTGGTCTACTTATTGTTTCAGTTTATAGAAAAACGACTTATTATAATTATAGTTGATGCTGTGAGATTTTCAAAGCGATCTATTTTACGTGACGAAGTATAAAACTCTGTTGTCTACGGCGCAGGTTTTTCACGAGGACCAAGTAAATACGCGGACCCAGGATCACCTAGTTAGATTACATACAGACCAGTATTGGCATTATTTGAGGTAGAGTCACCTACGTCTATGCGTTGGCAGTTCCATGTGTGTTTCTGTATGAGTATCTCTGTGCAGCAGTACAGGAGTGTGTGTGAAAATAATTAGTCGGTGACCTTGTCGTGCCGCCGCGGCCAGCGACCCCGTCAACGGTCTACTTTCACAGGTGCGAGTACAATATAAGGGCATACGAATTCGTTCCGACGGATTGCTTGTGATGGTCTACCGGTAATATCGGCTAGATAAAATAATGGCAGCTTCATTGCCTCATAGCGGCGAACGTTTTGTTCGATGAAGCAAACAAAGCCGGTCGGATAGGGCTGACAGGGCGGTAGCCTCAACGGTGCGCACAAGCCATCAACACTTGCCGCTAGCTAAGTGAACCGCACAACGAACGAGTTTCGATAGACCGATGAAACGCCAGCAAACCCATCCGCTCCGCATACCCATAATCGTTCACACAACAATGAGCAATCTACTACTGTTGCTGCTGCTGCCGCCGCCATCGCCACCGTTATCGAACGGTCATTATCCGTTTGTCCGTAAGCCTGTACGCTGGACGTGCAACGGGATGGCTTACCGACCAGCAGAAGACGGGCCAGTCGAAGTATGTATGCTTGCGCTACGTTAAGCGGCTTGCTTACGGCCTGCAGGTATAGTAATTGTAGTAACATTACAATACAAGCAAGCTACAACGCGCAACCGAGGAAATGCGACTTAAGTTCGTACAACGTACAATTTTGATTCCGCCTACGCCTCAAGCAAGCAGTCGTGCTAGGTAGCATCAGCAGCGCTTCTCGGCCTGCTGACAAAGCTAGGCGTAATTCCTTGTTCGCTCGACTCTTAGCTCCATTGGGTCCCTGCTCTTCACTTGATTCGGCGGTCTGAAGGCCTAGCCAGCTAGCTGCTGGCAATGACGCAGACACGTACGCACTTACTTGCAGAACAGACATGGCACATGCAAGCTGAGTGCGGCCTGTTCCTCGGACACGACACATCTCCGTCGCTGCAGTAGCAGTCGAGCGCCTCCAGGCGCTGCATGAAAGCAAAGAGGAACGAGGGCATCGAGTCTCACTGGAGTCCCCTTGCCCGCATTTTCGTCGCCCCCTCCTTCATGGCCACACACACACATGAGATCCCTGTGTTAGGCACAAAGGGAGAGAGTGCGGGGCGCACGAAAATGCGAAGGAGCCGGACCTATCTTTTTATCCTGGTTTCCCTCCCCTTGTAAGGAGGTAGGACAGAAAGTCCCCCACTCCTCAGTCTCCGATCCCTGTGCAGGCCAGCGGCCACCATACCCTCACCACCGGCTCTACTCTCACCCTCAAGCGGCCTTCGCTCTAAAAATAAAACTGTGTCTGCTCATCGATCCCGTACAGTTGTGGTGGTGGCAGCGAGAGCAGCAGCTGCCGCGGCCGCCTCGGCCCAAGGCTGATACGTCGGCGGCTCTCTTTCTATTCCAGTCGACGGTGGTGGCAACGGCTACGGAGCAGAACAAAGGGCCTGAGCCGGCGGAATGCCAGCAGCAGTAGGAACGGAAGCAATCGGAGCAGAGGCAAAAACAGCCATAGCATTCCGCAATGACGACAGCAGCAACGGTATTGGTGCCGTTAATGTTGATGCTGGTGGATGTGAAAGCGGCTTGGGTCGGTTTCTAGGGGCCCTACTGTCAGAACGGCCGCTCGGTTAGTTGCTTACTTGCCTCATTGACTAGATGGTACGTTGGCTGGATCGGAGGATGCCTTTTGCATCCACTAGAAGAGATTGTCGTTCAACCATTACGACGTCGTTGCTGATTCCAAGCAGATGCTGCACAGAGGACATCGCCTGATCACCTGTGCCATGACTGTCGTACTACATATATATATACTGCGATATTAACAGTAAGCGACGTAGGCAATGATGATGACGACGGCAATACTAGAAATCATAGCGTCCGACAGAACCATAATATAAAAGTAGTAATCGAGGTCAGAAAACTCAAATGTCGTCATTAGCAGAATCCATATAGCGATATCTAAATCTTTCAGGTACTCTGCATATCTTTTGGGTGCTACGATTACTGTGATAAGATGCCTATCGAGACGAACCCCCGACGAGACTGACCAGTTAGATAAGACAGGGTAGTGATGCGACTGCGTTTAGTTATAGAACTGATTGCACTATGCGTTAAGTATGTATAATTTGTAAGGTTTCTGGCCGTGCTACAATCTCCATTTGACCAAAAAGCCTAACACAGAGATTCTTAATGATGCTGAATAATCCGATAGTGTTGTATATATTTGAAATAATCGTTCCACGAATGACTGGATGGGGCATAATTATATATTGTTGCTATTAATGTGACTAGAATGTGGGGCCGTCCATGTTGGGCAAATAAGCCACGAGCGGAGTGTGCGTTTGGTGTTCTTAGCACAAGCGAGGTCATCACAGCTTTGTTGGGTCGTTGGCCAGCTGTCCACTCATGGTGAAGGTCGCATAGCAGTAGCAGTAGTAGCCACGGTAAGACAGCCAACCATATAGCAGCCCCCCGCACACGGCCCCCGTTTCCTATCGACTGACAGCCTACACTGCTGCTATTGACCCCATCGAAATGCAATCAGCTAGGCCAAAGCATCTCTTCGCAGGCCAGCATCGTGCAGGGGTAAGTGGACAACGGCTAGTTAACATTTTTATAGTTATCGAAACCTTCAGCCAACGCTGAAAGGCTTACAATAACATCGAACAAGCTAATAATATGGCACTACTATGGGACACAAACGATAGCAGTCTGCCCACTTCTCTACCAACCACCCGCTCTCCCTTAGGACGTTTTCTGTGCTGGCCACACAACAGTGCGTCTAGAGAGAACCAGCTCGACAGCGTTAGGAGTGATGCGGGCGATGATGGCGACCATTTATGGGTTAATCAATGTTCTATGTAGATATTCTGGGGCTGGCTCGATCATACAACGCGGCCTCGTATCGTAGAGAGGAAACGGTTTCATAACTTGCCAAAAAAATGTTCGTCGTCGTTTGCGATGGATGCAGTCCGTCGTCGATCAGCAGGCGGGAGCGGCAGCAGCAGCGGACTATGCGATCTGACCTGCGGTTGTCAACGGACAAAATAATCTTAATGTCCATGTACAGCTGTACCTGTCTTTACATTTGCCTGTATGATCAGCGGGAACCTGCAAAAAAAGAGCTGGCATTTGTTTTCATCGAGTCGCCTAGCTCTTGAAAGAAGCATTTATACCATAGCAACGCTTATGCTTTCCCTGCTATCATCCAAAACGACGGCACAACTTAACGCTGGCCAAAAATTACGCTTCAACAAGGCATCTGAATTTTACAGACAACTACTGCGATAACATCACTTTGAAACGAAACGATGTCCGCCATGTGTGCTGTTACTATCGACGCTACGGCTACTCCTACAAAAATAACTCTTATTTACGCATTTCTGAGTATTTTCAAACATTTATTGATAAACATACCGTTTTCACTAGGGGGCACACGCGTTTTGGGTTTGCGCTTCTTATCTCCCAAGCAGCAGTCACTAATACTGCATCCAACCTGCCTATCAATACACGCCAGTGTCATCATTCGTCCGCCTCGTAGCCCGTCTCTTTTTGAATGTTACTGGTGCGTATGTGTCTGTACGTATATAAATTTGTGTGTATGTGTATGTGTCAGTGTATGTGCAATGGAAGGAAGGATCGAATGCATCACTCATGAAGACGCACAATTGGCTCACAGTATAGACGTACCAGAGCTGCCGGTCGGTCGGTCAGTCAGTCGATAGACAAAACCAGCCTAGGGTACTTACTGTCTGCGTATCGGGCGCCGCTGTACTATATGATATGCGTCTACACGGGTCTTAACACGCTACTGCTGCTGTTGTTGCAAATGGCGGCTTGTAAACATCGCGCAGACTTGACGACGAAGGCGTAGATCTTAAAGTTCGCAGGACTATATTTCAAAACCCCAAAAAGAGAGTCGGACGGCGCGCCAGCAGCAACGCTGGGCAGCGATAACGACGGGCGTCGGAGCAGAGCTGAGCTGAGCTTGTCAAAGGCAATGCTTTCGTCCGTACAGGCACATTGACGCATTCAGGGCGGCAGGCCATAGCTAATACCGTGTCGCATAACGGATACTTGTCTGACAGTCCGATCAGAAGCTAAGTACAGTGTGTTAGAGAACTATTTATATTGTACATGGGCTTTCTATGTGCGGTGCCACATTTCTACGACACTGGCCGGCCGGTTCGTGCGAGCGCGCCGTGTCGATATGTATATCGATGTTGAGTAGAAAATGCACTCACCGCACGAGCGAGACCTGCTTGACTTTTTCATTTGTACAACAAGTTCAACCAATGGGCAACGAGGCAAGGACAATGATGGCCGCTTGTACAGAGGCCAAGAAATCGGATGTGTCGCAAGGCTAGTGAGCACGTTAATTATCTGATGGCAGTTTCTGGGGGAACTTGGGGGAGCAGTGGTAGAATTCTTAGTCACCATAAACAACTTCCTCTAGTTGTACTGAGGCAGGCGTTGAATTAACTTGTTTGAGCCTCAAGCAGCGGCCCGACCAGTCAGCATATATTGAGTCCAAGACGGCAGAACCTATGTCGTCAAATACCGGCATGATATTTCATGTACCTGTAACTAGCATGAATCGGGATAGCTAGAAATTAGAAGTAGCTGCCCTTGGAGGGACATGTGATCCGTTGATCGTTGTCAACTTAAACGTATCTTGATCCGCTTAGCAGCTACATATATATATATATATATATACATATATATATATGTACAATCTAATTGCATCATAAGCAATCACCGGTACAACGAGTCTATTCTGATGGCTGGCGTACATCTATCTAACTTGTTCCGGCTAACAAGCTTCAACTGGACCGTCCTGCGTACCCTGCTTGGGTTATCGAAGCTATCGGAAGCAACTGTTGTAGTCAAGAGGGGGAGTCATGCATATGCGTGCCAGTGCGAACAATAGCAAACACGCTGGCCGTCGCTCAAGCAGAAACATCAGTCTGGACGGCAGCAGGCAACAGATCATCCCAATCGATGGGTAAGAAGCTGCCGTATCGGCCAGTACTAGTATTACTTACTACTGCCTTACCTGTAAGCCTTCCAGCCTTAGCCTCCGCTGCTCTATCCGTCTTAAACGCTGTAATGGCTACATACATATATATATATATATATATATATATATATATAAATACACGACTGAAATGGAAAGGATGGGTTGAAACTGCGACTGATTTTCATATATGATATTGCCTCACGCTACTTACAAGTGGTAGAGGTAACATAAAGGCTAAAGCTAGTTGGCTAGAAGGATTCAGCGATGGCCAATATATATTTGTATTCGGTCGGTTGGATCAATTGGGTTGTGTTCCAAGTTATAACAAAGTGGCTAGGCTGGTGAACATGGAATTTCTTTGGCTGTTTATGTCATAATGTAAATTTGTTTGTGTCGAATGTGTTTTACGTGTCCAGCTTGTTATTTTGAATTGAAATTGAAAATCTACCTGAGAGCATATCTTACACAGATAGTTTATAGAAATGTCTTACAAATGGCGACTAACATATGGTTGCGGCCAGTCTAATGACAGCATCGTGGCCGTTTTATCAAACGTCTTTTTCTTTGTTTTTTTTTTCTTTTCTGTACACTTTTCTCTAATAATGACGGCAATAATAATGATGACACTTTGTACGGTCACCGTATTGATGCTAGTGCGACACACAGCCTTTGGCTATTAATTTATCGGAAGCTGTCTGTCATTGGGATATAAGAAGCTAATGTTCTAAAATAGAAAATGTTGGTATCAACAAGTTCATGCTTTATCTATTGAAGCTAGTATTAGAAGCGCACTGGCTAGTACGTGAATGCTATTCAGCAACAGGAGTCATTCCAACAAACAACAGAAACAGGTTTGTTTCCTACGATTCAGAAATACACACACAGAACGAATTACGTACCTTCTACGACGTAAAATGGACGCTTCTTTATTTCTATGCAAAGTCAAATGTAGACAGAATAGATCGTACGTTTATTGGTGTCACTGATACTGATCACGTCGACGTTGTCGTGATACGTGCGTTTCGTTGCCCACTTAAGAAGGCTGTGTTGTAGGTCCGATAAATATGGTTGTTGATTTTGGGGTGGCGCGGAACACTCACGTAATCCAGCCGGTCAAGATGCGGCCCGCGCCATGCTGATATAAATACGCGGCTCTGAAATTCTAAGGATATCGGAAACAGTGAAGTCGCCGCTACGGTAAGCTATCGTGTGCTCAACAGAGAACCATCTCCTCCCAGCCGTATCAACAACAGCTCATCGTCTCTTCTTCAATAACAGCTATAGTAATTGCTGATGAAGCTGAGCCTGCTATGTCACAACTGTTGATAATAATCGTCGACTACAGCCGTTACTGTTGAGGACACAGTTGCCACGGCAGACTTGGCAGTCACCACCGATAAAGTAGTTCTTATTGTTTACTTCATTATTAATTACGTTGTTGTTGTTGATGTTGTCAGTCTGTTGGCGACAGCCGTGGCGGTAGCAGCATATAGCACATAGTACACACTCAAAAGTACCACAGAAACGGACTGATTTCCCCAGTAGCTGAATGGATAGCAACCGTTTACTTACCCACTCACTCTTCCGTCCATCGTCGTTCCGTCACTTATGATGACAACAGCGGCTGAAGCTGTAACATGCGTCATTTACGGAGACGGCAACAACAGCCGCAGGTGTCTGCTGGAAGGTTGTCAATTCGCAATTATGATGTCGACGCTGAGGCTAACAACAACGATGACGACAACACCTATCACCTACTTCTACTAACGAAATGACGGACTATATATTCTATACCGTAAACAGCGAGTATATGGAGCGCGGATGTATGCACACATCACAGTGGTGGTAGTGGTGGTGGTGGTGGTGGTGGTGGTGGTGGTGGTGATGATGATGATGACGATGCTGGGGTTAGTAAAGTAAAAAGCGTCGGATAGGTCGATCGCTTGTCGCCGTAGCGGCTGGTAACTCGCCGTATGTACGATATATCAACTGTGACCGTTCAGCTGCGTGATTGGACAATATGTGAGTCAACAGGCTGTGTCGCGCTATTTGTGGCCTATCGCCAGAAATCCTGTCTGATTTCGTGGCCTGTGTGCTGGTTAGTTGCACTGGCTGACGGTGCTTCGCCAGATTCAGCCGGCAGACACAGACTACGAGTCGAGTGAGTCTCTACTGGTTGAGTGCTACTGTCTTGAAACAGCACGACGCCACAATGAAGAGAGCGGAGGTAAGGAGGTTTGTGCGCGGGCCAAACAGCGGCAGCAGCGGCGGGCCACTGCCGTCATCTAGCGCCACTACCGCCTTGTGGAGGAAGGCTAAACAGAGGAGGGCAGATGAGCTGAGGGTCGAACTGCTGCCACTATGGCCGCCGCCGCCGCCGCTGCCGCCGCTACGATCAGACGTCAGCCAGAAACGTGCGCGCGCGCACGCACGACGCTCAGCGAACGTTCGTAACGGCCACAGGTCGACACAACCCCGCTCACAGACAGACACACGGGCATCGAAAACAGGCTGTAATGGTATAGGATGCATAGGCTGGCAAGCACTAACACACGTAGATACAGTGCGGGGAAGTGACACGAACTTACGCTTAAACGTGCTCTCATATTCACAGACATACTGACAGAATAACTGACCGCGTCACGGACAAATTAATACACTCTATCGGCCGCTGTGAGGGTGATCTGAGTGACAGATGGACAGCCAGTTGGCACTGCACACACGCACACCCACGCATGCGGACGGCCGTCCAGACAGGCAGAGAAAAAAAGATAGAGGGAAAGAGATCCGCCCAGCTACTATGCGGCAGGCAGAAGCGGAGGGCAAAGGGGGGTAGTTGGGCCAACCTACGAATAGCCGTACTAATAGCGAACGTAGGGATATTGAGAGTACGGAAGAATGTAAAGGGAGACGGGAGGAGAGAGGAATTGAGAGCGAGAGAGGTCTACGAGCTTCGTTTGCGGCCGAAGATCACGAAAAGGCCTGCCACGTCTGCACAATTCGGTACGACGAGTACTAGTACCAAAGTCGTACTAGCGATAATGAAGGCAGAGTCAAGAGGCCTATGACGCTACTTCCTCCTTGCCAGTTCTACAGCCAGTCCGCATGCATAGACAGCCATGAAGCGGCTGCTTCGATAGACAACATATACACTATAAACCAGCCTATAAGCAATGTTGACAGTGTCAGCCGATATTTAGCCGAGAACAGGAAAAAAGTACCGATGCCACAACAATAAAAACAGTAACAACAACAACCCACTGGTGAGGGTGTTGACTTTGCATACTGCCAAGACCCGATATACGTGGAGCGTCTGCGAATCACACTCATCACTCACGTGTACGCTTATCTGCTGTTCTGATACCAAGCACCCCCCTGCCACTGACGAAGGACTGAAAGAAAACAACGACTGGATTCAAACCGACCCGGAAAAACAGGCCAAATCCTGCCATCCTTAGCGCATTGTGACTCGACAATAGCAGCATCAATAGAGGGAAAAGTATAAACCAAGAAAAGGAATCGAAACAGAAAATAGTGCAAGATAAAACGCGCAAGCGACAATTTGCAAAGTATAATGTTAGCTGAATGAGATAAAGATGGCGACAGCGATTTCGAACTTCATCTCTGTGGGACACCTGCAAATTCACACGATGTCGTACTTACTGATCTTAAAAATTCAGCTAGTTTTAATATGTATACAAAGAAATCGACCTTATGTTATCGTTTGCAATATAAATTATTACTTCTCAGAATTGACATTCAAGCAGGTTCCACTTTTGATCCTTTTGTTGTCCAAGTAGTTACGGCAACTGCGATTCCAATTTTGATCTCGTACTAGCAAGATATATATCAGTAATATTACAGAATCGCTACTTCCACATAACATACCCACTAGTAAGCCATAATTTCCACATATAGATAGCATCAAGCTGTCCTATACGGTAGCAACGACGAGCCAGGCCTGACTGTGTAGACCTAGAATCCGATGTCAATTCTGTAGGGTATAGATCTTCTAGCTGTGTGGGGTTTAGTATCAAACGGGTGCAAATAGAGACGTGACGCAGCGCTATTTTCCGATCCTGAGACGCATCTCTCCTTCTCGTCCCATTTATTGCTTTTGCTCTTTCCATGTCATTTGTCGTTTTTATTCAGCCCCATAACTTGGTCCAGTTACGAATCCGCTACTGTTGGCCGACTAGATTGGCCAAGGACGTAACTACGTAACTTTTTGCTTTCTGTAAAAGTATGAATGGCACATGCTGTGTCTTTTGTAGGTGCGATAATTGATAACAAATAATGATATTAATTCTCCGTGTTCGTTGCTTCATGAAATGGGCAGAAGTATTAATGTGGCATCGTATGGCTAAATCATGTCTGCCAGCGACGGCTAAAGCCCACGACCCGGGTCTTAAAGCTTCAGTGGGTGACTACCACTGCCTTTGTGAATCTTGCATCAAACGTTGCACAGTAATGTTTGCGTACGTATTGTACCGTTATACCGCCTCAACAGGCAGTTTTATCTCGAGGCACGATCGGCTGGCGACGTGAGTTAACGGTATCGTTACATCAGAGCAGCTGCTTAAAGCGAGAAAAGAACAGTATTCATCGTGAAATTTATTTATTATTTATATTGTAAAGTAGGAAAACTGGTAAATATGTGATACGACACCTTTAGCACATGGGTTAGATATTTTCAAGTATCGCGTGATAAAGAAAAACTCACTTACTCCATACGTATATAAGCACAACCATACATTGACAACAAACTTTTGCACGTATCACTCATTCGCTCATGCGGAAAACAGGCGGATGTCGTAGCATACGCCATTATAGATATGTGGGTATATGAGACGCCAGTGCACGAAAAGATACTATAGGTCAATTTTCATATGTTTGGTCTGTGGAGTCAACCAACTGTATTGAAAAATCCTCGTCTCTAGAAGCAATAATAATAATACAGCAAATGTTATGGCAATTGTCGTAAGAGACACGTTTTTTACGTCCACGATGGGAAAACAGGTTGCGAGAGGAACTTCTTCAACATCATATGATTAAACGAGCCGCGGTCTCTTCTGACCTTCAAAATAAAGACGAAGCTAGAAGGCGTATGTCGTTCGCTTGGCGTACGTCCTGTGCACGGCGTTTTCGTATGATTACTATGACGCTAGTTCTACCACTGATACAAGTACATGTAAATTTACTACTTACTTGCGGAAGTGTATGTGGATATGTAGATCTCTGATTTTTTTCTATATATGTTTGTGCTTATCATTATTAGCTAGCTACGGATCTATCCCTATGTGGAACTGCGACAATGTGCCGGGCGTGTTCCGAGTGCAACGTCATCATCGTGTGCGCCATGTGTTTACAGCTAAGTTGGCGCGTCCTGGTTGGATTATTTGACCATGATGAATGTTTGCCTGCTGGTTTGGTGGTCGAATCGAAATCTTTTAGCTCTTAAATACAAGTAAGCACTCTGCTTGACCAATGTGCTTTCGTTTTCAAACTGAAATATCAGCTTAAGCTATAGAGGGAGCGCTGTTTGTCCTGTTAAAACCGTGTATCAGTTCAGCGGTGCAGCAGAAGTTTCCAGCAGAGTCAGCGAGCCCCACCGCCGATTGGTAACCCAGCGTCGTTTGGCTGCTATTGCCCAGAGGAACTAACTTTGAAACTGAAAAATAATTTTAGTACTCTCTTTCGTTTTATATCGCGCACAAATCGTGCTAGCAGCGGCCACGACAGCAGGCAACAGGACCAACAACATCGCTAGGTAGTCATCAGCAGTGGGCACAAACAATCTCACGATTCAAGGCCAACGATCGCCGCCTGTTCTGCCCTAGGCTGTCGCTGTGTCGCCCCTGTAAAGTCGCAGCGGCTGCCAGCCCGCATCGTTGCCTTTCATTGTGAGTGTCGCTCTCTGCTCAGCTTGGTTGGGTTGCCAACAGTTCGCTTTCAGGTCCTGCGACTTCCTATTGGCCGATGGTGCTTTGACGTCACACACCCTCCTAATGGCAGGCGTCAACCTACGTCACTGAAACGTCAACAAGAGAGGGCTAAGAATGTTGCTGTCAGTACAGGAAGCCATAGAGCTCGCTTTTAGACGATGAGAAGAGAATGCGCAAGCGAACGCGGACCCCAAAATCGAGCGAGCGAATCGTCCGAAATGGAGCTAACGAGCAGAGACCAACCAGACTATCAGTGCGGGCAGGCAGGCAGACGAAGCACCAGAGAATAGATGCAGGTTGCAAGTACTCCTTATAAGAGTGAAGCTGTTTTGCACTGGTTTGTTGGGTAGGATTACTTTTTTCAGCCCTGCTTTTATGATGTCCTTTACTATAAGTGATAGTGTACAAGCAAATGAGTCTCTGGTCCGATATATTGCATCGCATGGAGCCTTAGAAGTGCAGGGGGTTGAGGAGGTCGGGAATGGGCTTGCCAGACGGAGGAGGGAACTCTGACCGGAGAGGAGGAAAACCAAATAAAGAGAGGGAGAGAATACGAACAGCCAGAGGTCAAGGTCGGCGTGACTCAAGGCGTACTCTTTGCTGGTTCTTGTGTCTCGGCTGTCACACTCACCAGCAGTGCCTCAAATCAGCCCGCCGGCCAGCCTAGGGAGCCGATCGACTCCCCTCTCGTTCGACGGCGAAAGCGGACGCATCGGTCAGGGCAGCAGCGCCAACGACGACGATGACGATGCAACGGACAAGAATGTGGGCCCTGTCTGCATCTTGGGTAGCAGACTGGAGAGAGGGAGGATCCCGTTCCTTGCCTTCCTCATAACTCAGCTCCCGTTGGCTCAAAATCTCCTCTTAAGCCCCTTTCCTTCAGGTGAGGTCGAGGGTACAGAGCGGGGCGGGGGAGGGGGGGGGCACACGATGGGAGAAGGATGGCGACGACAATGAGGAGATGGAGGACGAGGAGCTAAAGTTGGACATCCGTTCACCAACAGCAGTCGAAAGGCGAGTTTTGTCGGGAGCAGTTGACTGTTGAAGCTGAGTTACATCGTGCTTGTATCGGCTGTTGGTGTTTGCCCCTGTGGTGGAGCTGGCGCTACCATTGGCGGCATTTACAGTGCCAACGGTGTTACATTTGAATGGTGGATGGAAAGGGTAACAACAGATATCGACATCAGACAAAGATGTTACTGGGAGCGACAGGGAGCCACTAGTGTCGATAGTCAGTGAGGTGTAGCTATTACCCGACGAAGTAACGAACGCGGTAAAAGTAATGGTTAAGGTGGTAGACTCATCGACAAAGTTTCAGCGCAAGACAATGGGGGCTTGGTAGGAAGGCGTTGGGGGTGTTGAGAGGAGACCGTAAAGTTTAGAGGCCGTCTGCATCAAATTGCTTTCGTTGCCTGATATTTTAGAGAAAACGGAGCTCGCTTCATTCAGTAATCATACAATTAAACCGTTGCGTAGGGTGGCGCATAAACACAAATGCAAAACATAGCAAATGATATAATCAAATACGTTGCAATGATTTTAAATAGGTTTTTGCGACGCATTCGAGGGCATTATAAGGAAAAACATTTACTACCAATGAAAGCTCAAATATGCGCTAAACTGCTACGCTATAGAACTCACTGGCGAAGATGCATCTTGTTCAAAACCCGTTTAAGTTTTTTTTTAATGGGGCAGACACAACTCACTTATGTGTCATACGGAAACACGGATGATCATACAGGGAACACGAGTAGAAAAAATGTACATTTGTTTTTATATAAACGTCAGACATGGCTTACCTTTGCATGTTATTTGTTATCTGCTTGTACAACCGTTCCTTACTTACATGGCGATCAAATAAAATTGATCTGTACAAAAGCGGCCAAAAGTAATATACATTACGTCTGATACAATCTCATGCGTAAAATGTTACCAATTTTTCCTAATAGCGACTTTTTGACGGCGTGTTTAAAGGGGGCTAGTTCCAAATAGCGTTGTCCAAGTATCTAAGTTATGGAAGAACGACACCCGCACATCATGCTTCCGATCTGTCTGAACCTGTCTGTAAAGTGACCTAGCAACCCAACGTTCAGCTGCCAAACGTGCCGTTGATTTAATCGAACACTGCGTTCAGTCATTATAACCTTCTATTCTCATATGAAGCGTGAAAGTTGTCGCTCTGCTGGTACCTGCATAAAATCCTAAATAACCTATAACCTCCTAATTTCCGTTTTTCCGCATGACAAACAACTACTCTGACGAGAACACATCACTTTTGTAACTGTGCAGTTATTGTCTAGTACATTATTCGAGTTGATCTCGTTATGATGATGAAGTTTAAGCAAGTAAATGACACAATTCAAGGTTGTGTTGAGCAAAAGGGCTTGATTATTCTTGTGAGCCCTTCTCAAAGGCCAGCGCTACAAGACTATACTAGTTTTTGGCTTTTGTTAAGAACAAAATAATATGAGATGTAATAAAACAGTAGTGAGTTCTTCAACTTTGCTTTAGAAGTACATCGTGAATTTGGATTATCTGTGTGATTGTGCCTGTGTGAAGAAGCACGCCGACTGCGTGATGCTTGGGATCAATTAATCAGAGACGGGAGTTCGAAGGGCGCCCCGATAGAATCGTGTTCTCCTAATCAATTAGAACTGCAGAAGGTCCAACGCCGCACGTGCGGTGAACGACG